GAACTAGCTAAAATGCACTGCGATCACAACATATTATGTCTTCTAGTTTCTTTTTCTTTCTATAGACACAGCAGAAGCATTATCCCTAACCAAAGGATACAGTTTTATTTCTTCTTTATTTCTTTTTTGTTTTGGCAGAAAAGGTTATGTTGCAAGGTTATGCATCTTTTAGGGCTTGCCAATAGGGTATCCCAGTGGAAAAGGGCATTTACTTCCATACCAGAGGTTTCAAGTTCGAACCCCCATGGCACCTTAGTAGTGTGTGTAAGAAACCCTCCTTTCTATCTATATTAGACTATCGCTTGTACTTTAAAAACAAAAGCATCTTTAGGGTATATTCCATCAAAATATGCTTATAGTTTCCAGTCAAAACAAGCAAAGCCTATAAAACCCATATCAGCAACATCCTGAGACCACACTCATCATGTCCATTGATCCAAGCCCGTGAATGCTGACATTTCCAGTACTCCAACATAGCATGACATGATCAGTACTTTTGATTACCCAATTTTATACTGGCCATTGCTTGGGAGGCACAAGCAAAATCTTGTTACACGCTTGGCAGATAAGCACTAGCAAAGAGTACGTAGAATCAAACACCTTACCACTGCTTCAAGCCCGAGAAGGATGATTTCCAGAGAGCATGAAATGATAGTAATTTCAACGTTAAAGAAAAGGTTAATAACAACACCCTGCATGTAAGAATTTCTCATCAATTGTGATTTAACAAATTATAGTGCCACATGATAGTAGCAAAGATGCAAATATTATTCCTCTCGTCTTACATCCATCATTCAACATCAATATTGCAACTCGGGAAAAAAAATGAAGTTCTAAAAGATAATCAGACACCATCCCGATAGCATTCATGCCATAAGAAGAAACAGAACCAGGCACCAGAGCCAACGTGAAACATATTGATAAATAAAAAAACAGACACGAATGTGCTCAATCCTTCTTTCTGAAAAAACATTTCCAATTCGCATTGCTGTAAGCGTATTCTAGCTTCAATGCACAAGGAAGGATGTTACAGTGGAGCGTCAAACATACTAAACCGAAGAAAGAGAAAAAAAAAATCATATCTAACCAAAAGTTCTACATCTTTCCAAAAAATGGAGGAAACGCATCAAGCTGCTTGAACTTCAGCTGCTGGAGCACTTTCTGTAGGTTTAGTCACACTTGGAACACTTTCAGGCGACTTTGAGTTTGGAATGTACCTCCAACCACGCTTGTGGACTCCACTTATTTTCTTGGGAGCATCTGCAGCTGGCAAGCCTGCAACAAATTCTACTATATCAACTTCCATATAAAAGAGAATAACTTAAAAATAGATAAACCTAATCTGAAAAAATGACCACGTATTATTTTAGCAATTCTTACTATCACAACTACAAGTCAAAACAGAACTCTAATGAATTAGCCATTCCAAAGCATAAATGACAGACAAATACTGAATCAAGTCTCTATAACAAAAAGGAACCTCCTATTTATGTATGTAGGTGCTCATGCATTACATTTGATTATGCAATCGCATATGTGGAGGGGGCCAATGTCACTTACGAAGCACATATTTCTCATTTATAATTGAAATCAGGATGCACGTTCAGTCACAAATACAAATGCTGTGGCCAGGGAAGTGCATGTTCAATCTCTTATGTAACAACGCCAACTAGTTCCCTTGGTAGTTCTTTGAACTAAATGATGCATTATTTCCCAACCATTTAGGAGTCAGGACACTTTATTTTCAATTGAAGTTAAAAAGACGAGTTATCAGATATTGAACAACAGAATGCAGCCGAAACCAGGTATACAGATTGAGCAAACATGATACATAGCATTGAATCGATGATATCCCAATTCAGTACTACCAAGGGAACACAAATATTGATCAGATTAGTAAGCCCAATTCAGTCAACCTCAACACTTCGCAAGCGCAAATGTTCAACTGGTAAACTATGATATACTTGAGTCACTTCTTTAGCCAGACACAGCTAAAATGTAAGTGATAAAACCCTTGTAACATTTTTCTTTCAAACGAAAGAAAGAAAAGGTATAATCCTTTATATAGTCATAAAGGCAAGTATTAGAGATACAAATAAAAACTTCAATTGAGAAGAAAAAAATGTCACTTCCATGAAATATAAAACCCATCACTGACCTTCCTTATGAACGATGCCCCATGCTTTGCCATGCCTACCGTCCTGCCAAAATTTTTTTAAAAAAAACGCATAAACCCTAAACCATTAAACCCATAACAATAAGAAGGGGAATTGATTGAATGAACATTCTCACATCTAATTACGAGCAATCAAATGCGAAAGCAGAAAGCTTAGAGGCACAAAAGCCCAAATTTTTAATCAGTCCCACATTTTCTTAGTAAAGAAAAAATTGAAAGCCAGCAATAATTAAAAGAGAGACCTTGTAAAGATTGATTTTGGTGATCTGGTAAGAGACGCCAACCCAGTGAGTCTTAGCCATTTGGTACCCTAATCCCCAGTTGGGCAAAAACTGAGCCACCTCAAACAGGTTCTTCTTCTTCTTGCGCTTGGGTTTCTTCGAAGCCGAAGAAGAAGGAGAAGCAGCAGAAGCAGCAACAGGGTTTTCGGAAGCAGTGCTGAAGCTTCTGAGGAAGCTCGATGTGAGCCTCCATAGTTTTATGGTTCGATCCGTTACTGCTCTGTTTGCGAGATTGCTCGCCATTTTCAAGTTCGCTTCTCACTCTATTTTCTCTGTAATGCTACGGCTTCAGTTGGGTTGCTTTTTGCTTTGCGAGGAGGCGAAAAATCAATTGAAAGGTTTGTCATGTTCCGGAATGACCACGTAACTTTTCTTAAATGGTTATGACCTTAATTTTCTATCTTGTTTTTCTCAAATATGTAAAATTAAATAAACAATCGCATTCATGATTATGACCAAGTTCTAAAATATCAATGGTTTCGGAAATATCGGTATTCTTAATACAGGAAAATTTCTATGGAAATATCGGGATATTATCGATATTAATAAAAATTGAATAAAAACCATGAAAATTGTAAGAAAAACTTGAAAAAATTTCTTGAAACTTTGGTGGATGTTTATTTAGTCAATTATCTATTACTAAAAAATTGGAAGAAAATGCATTGCATGATGGGTTTAATTGATTTAAATTGATTATATAGTGAGCTGACAAAAACTGTGAGTGTAGAAAATATGTAGTAATTAATAAAAGAAGATTAAACACACAAAAACAGATAATACAAAGGCCAAAAAGGCTAGCTAAAGGAACAAATTTCCACAAACACAGAGAAGATTAAACTAAAACCAATATAGTCTAGTATAATAGTCTTCCCCATTACAAAATCAAACCAAAATACAATACAAAGCCACCGTCTTCCGCAAAGGTGACTAAGACTGCATCATAATGGCCACAAATGAGGGGATACACCACCACCACACAGGTCAGCATTGTTGCACATAAAGACTCATCGATCTTCCACCAAAAACAAATATTTCCCAAAAATCGGAAACACATTGCCCTCGAACATTCCTCCAAAAGTCACCTTTTCCATCACACCTAAATCTACCAATGCACCTAAGAGAATTGAGAGTATTGGTGCAAGCGTCAAAGCAAGAACCGTAGCGAAAGCTCTAAATACAATTCGAGAAATGAGCAACAAATAGATATGGTTGTTGTATCCCAAAGGAGATTCCAAATCCAGAAAAAGCATAAGGCAAAAAGAGGATGAGAAGTTGAGGAAGAAATAAATCTAGTTGAATGGGTTGTTTGGTGGAGAACGAAGGACACAAAATTGGCATGAGACATTTAGTCTTAGCATAGAGCATAAAGCACAAGCAGACACCACAGAGGGAGAAGCACCCAACTCTCAAAGAGAGCCTCAGAGGTAATCTATAACAACCAAAAAAAAGGCTAAGACCCCTTCTGTAAGTCCTCAAAAAAGCCTTGGTATGCCCATGACCAAAGTTTCTCTCATCTGAAGGGGGGTATTGGAAGAATTTCTCTTGCATAATTTTAAAGGATATGTCATGCTAAAATGAACTTTTGAATATATCTCATTTTTAAAGCCTTTTAGGACTTGTTTGGTATCCTACTTGGATCCAATTGTATTTTTTTTTTTCGGTCAAAACTTGGAAACAATTGTAAATTCCCAAAACTACAATACCAAAATTTCATGTGTAAATCCCTAAAGTGTATTTGGAAGAACAAAGATCTTGTAACTTTAATTTTGGTATTGCTTTGATAATGAGAAACGAAAGCTCATACGCTAAACTTTGACAACCAAAGAGAAGGGATGGGTCTTCCGACTCATACACTAGACTTTGACAACCAAAGAGAGAGGATGGGTCTTCCGACCATAGAGAGTAGGCGATAGAGTTGAAAAAACACCAAACAATACTACTAAAGAGAGATGAGTAAAGACCAAAGTTGCTAGAAAGCAAATATCACTACCACAAATCCATAATGTTGAAATAAGCAAAGTTACAGCAAAAGCAGCAACTGGAAGTTGATATTGAAACTTGTCCCACAAACACTCAACCAGAAATTCATTCACATACTACATAAAACACTAACTGCAAAGTTGATATTCAAAGGAAACTACTGCTTGATAGAAATTACATTTCCTCCTCATACTCCCCTTGCTCATCCTCGTATTCCTCCTCATCGGCTGTTGCATCTTGATACTGCTGGTATTCAGAAACCAGATCGTTCATGTTGCTCTCAGCCTCAGTGAACTCCATCTCGTCCATACCTTCACCTGTGTACCAATGCAAGAAAGCCTTCCTCCTAAACATGGCAGTGAATTGCTCACTCACCCTCCTGAACATCTCCTGAATGGATGTCGAGTTCCCGATGAATGTTGATGCCATCTTCAGCCCAGTTGGTGGGATGTCACAAACTGTTGACTTCACATTGTTGGGTATCCACTCAACAAAGTAGGAAGAGTTCTTGTTCTGTACATTCATCATCTGATCATCAACTTCCTTGGTGCTCATCTTACCACGGAACATTGCTGATGCTGTTAGATAACGTCCATGTCGTGGATCAGCAGCACACATCATGTTCTTGGAATCCCACATTTGCTGGGTGAGCTCTGGAACAGTCAAGGCTCTGTACTGCTGAGAACCTCTTGAAGTAAGAGGAGCAAAGCCCACCATGAAAAAGTGAAGACGCGGGAAGGGGATCAAGTTTACGGCAAGTTTGCGCAAGTCAGAGTTGAGCTGTCCAGGGAACCTTAGGCAGCATGTAACTCCAGACATAGTTGCAGATATCAAATGATTCAAATCACCAACTGTAAAACAGCAAAGCAGAGAAGATGATATCAGCTTTTATGCTCCTTTTAGGAAACAAAATGGGCAATATAATGCAAGTTCATAGGGTATTTACTATCACAAGCATGCACAACAGACAACTCATGCTTTCAGAACTCCGACACAGAAAGAAAGATTAGATCATCCATTGCTTGCCGAAACTCATTTTTCATCGGAGACTAAACAACAACTAATTACTTTTAGAACTACCATCAACAGGAATGTATTTTAACCTACAAAATACGCATCATCATCTGCACATACAACAGACAACTCATGCTTCAGAACCCAACAATAAAAACATTCATCGTCGCCTTTGCAGAAAATGAATAGCAGTTAATTACTCTTAGAAGTAAGAGCAATCAATATGACCATATCAAATATTTGACATAACTCAGAATGAAAACACGTTTGTCATTGTTCCTCAAAATTACCGAAGCATGCTTGAACCTTGAATTCATTCTGCAATAAATCATCTATGCCAATGCCATCATGCATAATTTATTCTTCTAACAAAGAGCTAAGTTACATGGATGATCATGACAACACTTGACATGTAGATCCAGAGTAAATCAAGGTACATAATCATAAAATAGCATAAGATAACCATCCAAAAAAACCGCGAAGATATGAAGAAACTTACAGCTGGGTGTGGTGAGTTTAAGTGTACGGAAGCAGATATCATAGAGGGCTTCATTGTCAAGAACCATACACTCGTCTGCGTTCTCCACAAGCTGATGAACTGACAGAGTAGCATTGTAAGGCTCCACAACAGTATCAGAGACCTTGGGAGATGGGAACACAGAGAAGGTCATCATCATCCGATCTGGGTACTCCTCCCTAATCTTAGAAATCAGAAGCGTTCCCATTCCAGATCCAGTACCACCACCCAACGAATGGCACACCTGAAACCCTGCAACACCAAATCACAAATCACAATTAGGGTCTTACCAAACCAAAATTGAAAACCCCCAATCTAAATAATCTCACTAATTACAGTTAGGGTTTGGTCATTTCAGGGTTCATACATACCTTGCAAACAGTCACAATTCTCCGCCTCTTTGCGAACCACATCTAGAACCGAATCGATCAACTCTGCACCCTCAGTGTAATGGCCTTTGGCCCAGTTGTTTCCAGCACCCGATTGACCGAAAACGAAGTTATCAGGTCGGAAGATCTGGCCATATGGCCCAGATCTGATGCTGTCCATGGTGCCAGGCTCCAGATCCATGAGCACAGCTCGAGGAACATATCGACCACCACTGGCTTCGTTGTAGTAGACGTTGACTCGCTCGAGCTGAAGCTCAGAGTCGCCATGGTAGCGCCCGGTGGAGTCTATGCCGTGCTCGGCGCAGACCACCTCCCAGAACTTGGCTCCGATCTGGTTACCGCATTGGCCTCCCTGGATGTGAAGAATCTCACGCATTTTCAGTTCTAGGGTTTTGCTGCAGAGAGATATCGAGATCGAGAGGAGAGAGAGAGAGAGAGAGAGGCGCAAAGTTGAAAATGAGGAGGGTAGGAGGAGAGAGTGAGAGGGGGGCCTCTATATAGAGAGAGTGAGCTGTAACCCTATAACGGCTCTTTGCTAATTTTATTTTATTTGTTTTTTTTGGGGTTTTTGATTGGCTGTTTAAGTTAAATATCTTCGCGAGAATCAACGGCTGGATGGATGCCATTTCATTTGATGGTTGTGAAAACGGTTTAAATTTTTTAGAGCCCATACGAAGTTTTTGAATTTAGAATTTGCAGATACAGCTGGATACGATTGGCCCCACTGGTTTTGTTTTGTTTACGAATGCCGGATCCGGAAGAGTGAAAAGACTGAACTGCCCCCTCACCGATCTGGTGGTTAATGAAATTTAAAAAGCTTCTGCAGCCTCGAGTTCCGTGGCAAAAAGCTTATTCGTGATCTGACACAGCGAGGAGGACTGGCTTTGCGTAAACCCCAGTTTTCCAACTATTATAATTTACACATAACAAATAAAAAATAAAAAATTAGTGTAACACAATATCAGGTGACATGTTAATACGAGATTACGGATATACCTCGTGAAGCTTTAGAATTTAAAAATTCGATATTTAACGATTGTACAATTTAATTAAATGTGTAACGCTAGTTCGAAATGTCATAAAATATCATCGTCGCTTAGAAATTTCTTCATTAAAAACAAATTGAACCATTTTTACTACATATAAATTTTCTCTTAGATTTTGAAAGAAATTAAGGAAGCCAAAAAAAAAAAAAACCAAAAAAAAAATTCCTTTCATAAGAAATTTCTGCCTTGCACTTGGACCTCAGTTACCTCATAAAATGAAAGGATTTTAATTACCTCAATTACCCCGTTGGAGCACAACTTGCGTTTTTTTTTTCCCTCTCCTCTCTCGGATTACTTACATTTAATTTATATTTCACGTCATGTGCTTTCATTAAAAATAATAATAATAATAATAATAATAATAAAGAAGAAAAATAGAGTCAAGTGGATCCACATGATAATATGACACACCTCGATATAATGAGAGGAAGATTAGTATATAACCAGAGGCTTTACTCTTTTACCCTCAGCTAACAAATGGTATTTTCTTTAAAAGATTAATTAATTAAGGGCATTTTTAGAAAATTTCAAAATTTAACCATAATGACCTTGTGCAAGAAAAGGATCCAAATTCAAACACAAGAAACTCGGAGCGCTTTGCTGTGAAAAAGTAGACCTATTTTCTTGTTAACTTTTTTGCAGAGCTAAAAAAAGTCACGTAGTTACACTAGAGCAAAAATTGACAAGGCAACAAATATATATATATATTACAATAAAGTTAATTTTATTCTTACTTTTAGAGAAGGGAATTAATAATACATGTGCTGGAACACAAAACCTATTTTCACTCAAGGCTCTCTCTCTCTCTCTCTCTCTCTCTCTCTCTCTCATGGAGATCCCATGACCAAGCAATGTCTTAGAAAATCAAAAACTAAAACTTTACATCATATTCCTGTACAAACATATCAACCCATGATTGTGATAAAATTGCAGATGAAACGAAGCCCTTGAAAAAGCATTAAAGTTTGGGAAGGTAGGGAACAACATCCATAGCTTGACTGAACGAACCTCCTCATCTCTCTCTACACAGCTTGGGGAGACCCACAGACACCCTTCAAGAATAAGCTAGCACTAGCAAAAAACAGTAAGCATCCTACATTGTACGTTATATAAGTAATCAATCAAGCTCTCTGCCTAAGCAATCATCATACTATCTTATCTCACCTAGCTTTCACCATATTACAATTTTTCCGGTTTTTCTTTTTCTCGGATCGGGACCTTATGTGTTATTCTTGTCAGTCATAAGCTACACTTATATTTCCTAGTCCAGCATTACTTTAAACATGAGTGTGACAAAAGCAATAAAATCCAAAAGCTACTTGAGTTCATGTAAAACTTAAGCATCTAGAGCAGGTGCAGGTTCCAAATCGTGTTTTTTTTTCCCGGTTAAATAAATATTGTGTATTTTATTCAGTGTAGTTATCATTTAAGTTGCTCAGTTCTGCATTATTCATTGGATTGCATGCAAATTGGCAACGCTTTGGCATACGCCCCTGATCACAAAAGCCCTGGACTATTATAACGAATTTTCTTGGCTTGAAAGCATGATCATCCCTTAAAGTTTTCCTATATCAGAACGTACCCAAGTCACCCATAAAAGTTACGGTAATCTTGTTGAATAAAACTAAGATTCCAGTGTACTCAATCGAAAGTGGGAACGAGAAGGAAAAGACCACTTTCTTCTTTAAGTTTGAAGGAAAACAAGAGGAAGGACAAGAGAGAACGGGGTGACTGCAAGTGAGATGAAACATGCATTGTGAATATATGCTTTCTGAAATAAATAAAAGATATTGCTAGTAAATCATAAATTTTTGAGTTCATTATGAAACATGTTCATGATCTTGTCAACATTATCGCACAAATGCAGAAAAATATAAATAAGCTTTACTCCATTATGAATTTAGAGCTTGTTAGCGTTGACAGTATCATTCCAATATGTGAAAAAAGGTACCTTATTTCCCTAATTTCATGTGTAATATCCAAATCAAATTCCCATATAACCAGGAAGGTTAAAGAAATCTGTTCACTCTTAGAAGAGGTAAAAACAGTCTTTTAGTTTGAGTCTAAAACCAACCATACGAAACAGAATTTGCTTATCTAAAATGCAAGAGAAGAAAAGTAACGAAGGCTACTTAGACAAACAAAAATACTCTAACGGGGTCTGCAAAATGAATACATTACAAGCATCAAAGAAAAGTTTGAGACTGCAATTGGATATCTTTTGATATGCATTAGTTGTGGTGATTCCTATGAAGTTCCCCAAAGAAAAAGAAAGAACGAACAAAAGAAAAAGTCTTCATGAACAAGAGAAACTCTTTAGTCATATCAGGAGATCTTTTGATGGTGTTACACAAAAGAAACGCTCAAGACTTTTTCTTTCTTCTTTTTATGAGAAACAGACTCTTAAGGTTTTCATGGATTAATAATTTAAAAGAGCCGTCAAAGTATTCCCCTTCAAAGTCCAACAAGTTTTTCTGATATGTAAGAAATTTAAAACAGTTCCAAAGATGCATCACCCAAGTGTTAAAAACAAAAGAATGAAATTAATCCACGAAATGCAACGGAAAAATTAAAAACAGCCATCAGCTTGTCATTATGCAATATGCTAGATAAGTCTTGAGCCCAACCACTAACAATTCCAGTACACATACAATAATTTAAGCCCATGGCTTCTTAGAGCTAGTATCTAAAGATGAAAGGCAATCAAATTTACAACCCTCCTAAGTTTCCTAAGGTTATCCTAGCCCTTCAAAGGATGTACCGTTTGTATACACAATAGTAAATATGTAGAAACAGATAGAACCCCCAAGATATCAGCATGACAATGAAATCAACACTAACAAGCAAATTTTGCCTCAAAATAAAATCTGTACATTGAACACAATCTTACCACATCAAAAACAGACGACAGAGTAAACCTCTCTGCTAAACTTTCAGCCCTTACGTAGTCTGCTTCGCCGAAAAAAGACAGGTCGAATTGAAAAGATCTATTATAGAAAAGAGAAATTCCACCAAAAATAAAAATCAACTACAAAATCGACCTTAGAAGCTAAAAATAATAAAGAATCAATAGTCAATTCAGTAAAAAGAGAAATAGCAATAAAGATAAAAGAAATTGAACTCGTGAAATTTCTCATAAAAGCCTTTCCATATGTAAAAATAATGAGACAAGATCAACCTCCAGCTACTAGGTAACAAATAGAAACTTGTTATAATGATTCAGGAGCATCTGCGGGAGCATTTGGTTTAGGTGGTTTCAGTTTTATGCTTATCTTTTATTTGTCTTGTTTGATTTTTATGTGTTATGTTGTTTGTAGCTTATAGTATTTCTCCTAGTCTCTTTTTAATAGTCAGGCAATAGTCATGTGAGTAAGTATTTTTGGAGGCTAAGATTGACTAGTTATTGAAGTAATCAAGGGCTAGGATGCTAGGGTTGTAACCCTAGTATATATACCCTATTTAGAGGCCTTTTATGCAGTCTTTTGTCCCACAAAATCAGAATGTAGTCTCACTTCGGTATCTTTGCCCTATAACTAACTTATCAACATTCCAACTATGATCCTATTTCTTTCTTTCTCTGTTTCTTATTGATTTAAAAATCTCGTAGCTTTCTATCTCTTGTTTTGACCATTATTTAGGGCTTAATATCCCTTCTCTAGCGTGGTTTTGTACTGCTACACCAAACAGACAGCAGCTTCTGCTTCTGCCCTACACCAAATAGCATTCCTCTTGTCCAACATCAATGTATCCTATGCTGACAGCATCAGCCATATCCGATAGTACTAGACCAGTAAAAGTAACAAGCAACTGCAGAATATACAGCTTAATTGTGTTCGACAGATTGTTCAATTGCTTAGGTTGACCAATTTCCAACCAATATGGCCAGCAAAGCAAATATTTGTCTCATAGCCTAGTTTATCAGCAAAACAATATCCTTCAAATAAATGCTGATTCACAAGCCACAAAATAGAGATAATAATATAATAGATAGTAGGTCTGTAGTCCAACAAACAACAGCATGAAGCTATCTGTGCTAACTACTAAAAAAAGAAAAATAAAAAATAAAGCCTCTAAGATATACGATCATAGTCTCAAAATACCTAATTCCTTAGGCTCTCTCACTTTTTTCTTAGGAGTCACTTGAATTTTCCTTGTATAACCTACATAGTAAAGTCCACTATAGTCATTGCTTTATATAGGCCTATACACCCCAAATATTGAGTTTTTAAATCTACTACAGTACTAGAGATTAAGAATTATTTGTCAGTAAGTTTGATCAATTTAGAGAAACTCCTTATATCTTTGCAAACATCATTTTAGCACCTCCAACTAAGCTACAATTGAGAACAATTGGGGTGAAATGTTAGTAAAAAAATTAATAACTACTCTGCTTAACATGGTCAGTTCAATTTCTACCAATTAAGTACCAAGGACGAGGTTGATTAATTAATATCATACTACATACAGAAGTGCCTCTGCTCATAATAAAAAAGAAGAAACAATTCAGACAGCATCATAGATACTTCCAAAACTTGAAATCAGGTATTGTTGCCAACTCTAATGACAATAATGTAAAATTACAAAGTTATATACAATAAAGGAAAATACTTATATTAGAGAGCTTTAATGTTCAAGGTAATGTCCATGTTTTGAGAGCTGTGTAGCAATGAGATCCTTTCTAACAAAAAATACACATCTGAACTACAGAACACGATAAAAATGACAAAGCCATCACTAGACCACCATCGGATTCTTTATTATCACAATAATTCTAACAGATCTGTAACACAATACAGGATTTTGTTGATTCATTCCGGATTCTATCATCTCCTGTTGTACCATACTTTAATATTCCAGGATCCACTCATTCTGAAAATTCATCACATCAAGTTTTCCTGGCTAATAATCTTGTAAAATTCCAACTTTTTCATCATACCGAGTACAACGAACAAAACATGAACGAACTTGAAATATAAGAATTGGAAGGGTAAAAGATACATTCAAGAATGCTATAAACCAAATGCCATCTCAGCTCCAAATGCAAAAGAAGTGATAGCAGTATACCACTTTTGAATTTAAAATGATGATAATGTCAACAGAAAACAATCCTAGTGAGAATAGAAAACTTGAGAGTCAAAAACCAACAAACTTAACTGCCATTGAACTCCAGTTCCAAATACCATCTCCATTAACATGGCAGCAACCTGAAATGACAAAACTAGCATGAACCACCCCGAATGTAGAAAAAAGAGGCATGGAAGGGTGCATCACCTATATTGCTAACGCAATAATACCAAAGAAACAATTGGACCCCAAGTGAAATGCAACCAAAGAGATCCACATTGCAGCACACCATCATCAATCAATGCTTTTCTCCCCGGCCCTCAATACTGGAATTTTTGACTTGTTTGCATCCTCTAATAAGGACTGATCACTAGAGGTTCTACAAAAAGAAGCAAAACAAAATTTAAAAAAACATGCACACAACCAGACTTCTAAACCATAAATTGAAAAGAAAAATAGATAAAAGAAGATAATCAAATATGAAGTCAAGCAGTAACTATGATATGCACGGAGAACTTACAGTTTCTGCTTTTTGGCATTCTGCTTAATGCTTCGTACCATATCCATAGCCATCTTCTGGTGCTCCCTTGTTTGTGAATGCAAGTCCAAGCCTTCAACTGTTTCACAATCAACTTTACAGATCCGACACCACCCCATACTAGCTGGCTTCCTTTTCCTTGAGTGATCAAAAGACTCCAGATCTCCCTGAAGATATCCATACCATCAAAAAGTTGAACTTAAAAAACAAAGAAAATTAAAGTATCCCGATAGGAGCTCTACTTACTAGCATCACTTCACACACATAATGCTAATGACTGAAGCAAATACTTAACTGTATAAGTTCCATCATTTGGAAATCTCTGAAGTGAAAAGCTGCTTCGAAATCCAGGCTCACCAAGGCGAGGATGACTGGGCCTGTTGCCTCGAAATGACTCAAAGTTCCCGGGCCCAGCCATGTCTCCCATGCGTGAATGACGAGAACCAAAACCCAGAGGTTCTCGCAAGTTGTGACCTAAATGATCTCCCCTCCGAAGATGACCAGGGTGACCATCTTGACCAATAAAATCATTCCTTCTAAGATCAACCATTCGCAGATTACCAGGACCCTCAAACTCTCCCCTACGAAAATGACCGGGCAAACTAGAAAACCTACCCTCATGGAATTGATTTCCAAGTGGATCACCAAATCGATGAAACTCCCTGCCATCAAAATCATCAGGGCCAAAGCCTCTAAACCCATGAGGTGGGAGGCCAGTGTAATCTCTAACTGGGCTTCGAGGAGCCAAACCATCCACAAGACGCCGTCCAACAAAATCTGGATGACCATGAGTAGGCTCCATTCTCCCAAAATCTCCTGCATCATTCCCATGCACTGAACCACCAAGACGATAGGGAGACAGGAACCTTGATGGAGCAGTGCCAGCTGCAGGATCTGTATGCGGACCACTATCATACTTGAAGCCATGAGGTGCCCTATCAAATGGCCTTGACGAGTAATTCCCAAATTTTGCAACAGGCTCAGAATCCAGATATGAAGGCCTAGGGAATTGCTTCAGATCATCTTCAAACTCTACTCGGTCAATAACATGATGTGTCGGATCCACTGGAAAGGGATTCAACCGCTCGCCTGGAAAAGCCTTAAACCTTTCGTCCCTCGGCCCATGAGTTGATGAGGAATCAGGGCCTGGAGTTCCATTCATCCTCAACATATTTGGGTGGATACCAGATGGCTGTCCAATTGGTGCTGCTCTTGACATCATGCCACCTTGAGAATCAAAAGCACTAGTGGGTGGAAACGGTAAATGACCTTCGTTATAAGGCCCATGCGGAGTAACAGATTGCAGTTCGATGCTTCCTTGAGGACCATGCTGACTTGCCCTGCCAGATGATGCTCCAAAGCCCAGGTTGCCACCATGTGGCTGGAAATGCTCAGATGAATGAAAAGGCTGTCCAGGAACATGTGCAGGCCCTGGAGGCCTTAGATGATGCCCAGGCCCCTGTGTATGATGAGGAGGTCCTGGAGGCACTTGTAACAAAAGAGGTGCGCCAGGTCTTTGCGGGATTGTAGTAGGTCCATGATGAGGCAGATGCTTTCCTTGATCAGATATTGGAGCTGAAGTAGATACAGCTTGATATCCCTCATCAGTGCCAATAAAAGGCTGCGGATTGCCACTAGCATCCTTCTGCAACATCCGACCCTGTTCTTCACGAAGTTGAGCTTCTTCAGATGGGATTTCTTTAAGCTCTCTCTGTTTCACGTCACTGCTGGAAACATCTTTTGCACCCTCAGCTACAACTTCACCCAATTTACCGTTACTTGAATGGTCTAGAGTACCATCCACACCCTCTTCCTTCAACATTGATTTACTTACAGACTCTCCATTTTCAAGCGCATGTATATCTGGAATCTCCTTGGAAGATGTATCTCCCTGATTAGTTTTATCTTCACCAGTAGGTTTATTCTCATTATCAATGGACTTAATATCCGTCTCAGATTTCGCAGTTTTAACCTCCGCATCAGCTACCACACCAGATGCTGTACCCACATCATGTACAACCTTTTTAGCATTTTGTTGAGCCGATAACCCAGATTCTTGCTCAGCTTGCCTCTCAGACGTAGTTGGTCCCGAGTTTGCTCCAGACTGCACTAGGTTGTTTGTGCTGACCATACTGTTCTGATTTGTAGATGGAAGGTTTGCAGCAGGATGCATTGGCCTCATGTAAACACCTCCAGCAGTTTGTGCATAGGTCTGAGATTGTACTCCATGAATTGGCATCATAGGCCTTCCGCCAAGATTAGACTGGGTATGTTGAATGCCCTGAGACAATGCAACGTTCTGCTGAGACTGTGTAGAAGCATGAATATGTTGAGGGAACAAATGAGATTGACCCTGGGGACGTAGCTGTGTAGGTGGTTGCTGTTGTACAAAAGGCTGGTGGTGGAAATATTGCTGAGGAGTCGGTTGTTGAACTGCCTGCATATGAGGGCGCTGATGGACAGTATTCCCAGGTGGGTGACCATAAGAGTGAACAGGCTGCTGTTGTGCAGGATTCATGTTTTGGATTTGACCAGGAGAAGGCAACAAAGCTGGCTGCTGCTGGTTTGGAATTGTTGTATGAGATGGGGGTGGCCGCATAAGTGGGGGTTGTTGAGGGAACTGACTCTGTATTTGAACGGGAGTTTGTGACTGGGAGTGAGGCATTCCATGAGATTGCACGTGCATAGTACGTTGTTGTGGGGCTCCTGACTGCATTGGTTGGTGAAGGTGAGGTTGAGGGTACAAGTGATTGCCAGTCACTGCATGAGATGATGGATGTTGTGTCTGAGGCTGGATGGTAGCAGTCATCGGCTGAGAAGGGTGAAGTTGGGGATTGGGCTGGGGATGTTGTTGAAGCTGTGCCTGTTGCTGAGGTTGTGAATGAGGTTGGGGTTGAGAAATGGGATGCTGTTGCAGGAGAAGCTGGGACTGGGTATGTTGCTGAATTTGGGCTTGCTGATTATGAGGCATTTGCACATGTTGAGGATGTGGCTGTGAATGGGTTGGAGCTTGGAAATATGGTAGGGGTTGAGGATGTGGCTGCCCATGAGCTGCCGGGTAAGTCTGCACTGCAGGGTGAAGTTGCTGCTGTTGGTTAACTTGTGCCTGATTTTGAGTTTGAGCAGCAACAGGAGCCTGCACATGTGGGGGCTGAATTTGGGGTTGGGGTGGGGGTTGCGCTTGAGCTTGAGCTTGAGATTGAGATTGAGATAATTGAGGCTGTAGTGGAGGTTGAGTTTGGGGCTGCGATTGCAAGTATGTCTGAGATTGATGCTGGACTGTCCCATATGGTGGATGAGACTGCAAATGCTGCTGCTGTGATTGTGGAACTGCTGGCTGTTGATAGGGATAGTAGTTCTGATATTGTTGTTGATATGGATCATACCCAGGGTACTGCTGGTAGTACTGTTGATATTGTTGCTGATGTTGGTACCACTGTTCAGCAGACGGCACAGCAGCTTGAACAACAGCTTGAGAACTTGAGTTTGCTTTCTGATTAGGATCAGGTCCAGGTGCTGTGACACTTGTAGTTTGAGAAACCTGGGCCTGAGATGTTGCTATTCCTGACTGAGTGGCAGCCTGGGTCTGATCAGCAGTAGCTGATGTGCCAGAAGCTGAAGTATCCAAAGCACCCTCAGCCTGCTGCGCTTGAGGCTGCACACCCTGTCATTGACAGATAACAATAAAATCAATTCCAGATAGTAACTTCTCATCTTGTAAAAAGAAAACTAAAATACTCACCGGGCAATTTTGTGCATGCTCCTGCACTTGACGATGCACAATTTGGATTCCACACCTGTTACATACTACAGGAGAATTGCCAAAGGCACATCCAGAACAATGAGATGTACACTCAGATAAAGGTCCCTGCCATGTGCATCCACTCCTGTGATAGAGGCAATGAACTGCTATTTTTCCTATGGTTTCAGCAAGGGACTTATTTGATTCAATAAGTGGCTGCATTGATTAGTTACAGTAAAGTTGTATCAATAAGCAGACAGTAAAGATCAGATATATTGGTTACGACCAAGGTTGTATAGGGAAGGACCTTGGCATCTGCTTCTGTCACTAAGTAGCCATCATATGGGCAAGCTCGGGTAGAGCTCACTACGTATGTCAAACAGGGCTTGCAGTATAAATGAGTGCACTGTGACTGCAATGCTTCATTTGGGTAGACAAGCAAACGACAAACTGGACAAAAGTACTCTCCGGCAAGAGATTGGATATTCAATATGCACTCATTATCAAATCCCATGCCGCCTTGCAAGCTCAGCTTCAAGTCCTAGTGCATGAATTTTATCAACTGAATGAGTGAAAAAATTGTGAGCCCCTTTTTTTAGCATAAAGAAATAAACTTTCTTCCATAAACATTTATGACACATTGGCTTCATTGCAACACATCTTATTTTTCATCGAAGTAACAGGTAAAGGGCCTCGTTCAGTTCAAAATCATACAAACAATCCTCAGAAGAAGAAAATGAGCCAACGCAAAAACGCAATTACCCATTTTCACAAACCAAACAAGAAAGCAGGGAGGCACACAATGATATGCAAGTGAATATTCAGACATCCAAATCCAGTGCGTACCCAATCACTCCATTAAGCATTTAGTAATAATCAGCAAAATGGCATCGAAAAGAAAAACCCAAACTGTCCTATGCGTACCAAAAAATCCAGACCGAAAAAGATCAATCAAAATCCGTGTCTTTGTGCGTTTTCAGATTTAGACGAGTGCGGTTTCGACTTTCATAAACCTGAAGTCATTGAATTTAAGTATCGTACATTTAAATTTTTTTAAAAAAAACATAGAACTTTCCTTCCCAATTCCCCAATTCCCACACTTTCTCAGCAGCCAAAGATTACACTAGGTATACCAAAACAGCATAATTTTGGTACCTTGAAATTTCTCTAATGTCCGTCAATTCGATTCAAGACCCTAAACCCTAGCCCAGTTAAACCTGTCAAAACAGAAAAGATAAAATAAATCTTAAGGTTTTCATGAACGAAATGGTTGTGCGTGAAGAGTGTAGAGTAGAAAGTAGTAGTTACGGTTGGCGCCGATTGCTCGAGAAACGCAAAGAGTCTCTCGGCACAAGAGCGAGAGAGAGAGATGCTAAACGCGAACTGAAAACACAAGACGCAAAGCAACAACGGTGCCAACAAGTGTATGTTGTGTTTATGTTATATGTTTTTAACAAGTGTATGTTGTGTTTATGTTATATGTTTTTTTATTCTTCTTTTGTTCTCTGATTTTCTACCGAAGGTGAATGATACGACGCCGTTGGTGATGATGCTTTTTTTTGTTTTTTTTGAGGAATTTACCATCCTAGAGTAAAACTGTAAAAATGTAAAAATGTGCTTCTAATTGGTACCCGGCATAATTTTATGCGAATGAAGCTAATGGTTTTGTTATGCATAAGCAGGGGAGGATTTTGTTTCGTTACTCTTTTAGTTTCCTAACCATTCCTCTTGGCCTTGGGTTTGCCTTAAAACATTTGCACAATAGCTCTTTGAAAGGATGCATTGACCATTTGCATGAGAGCGATCAGGATCTTGATGAGCAAGCTTTATCACGGTTTTTGTTACGAGAACCGTCTATTAGGATTTAGGGATGGCCCTGTGGCCTCATATTTTTATGCAAGTTACAGGACAGAACCATATAAGCTCATACTTTTACTGACAGTTTGATTATAAGGCCTATTCTCCTTTGTTCGCTCTCTCTGTTATTATGAATGAATTGAAGATGTCTTTCTCTGGCCTTGAGGAGCAAGCTGTGCATGTTGGCAACGAGGATGTTAGTGTTTTCTAAATGCACTTGTTTGTACAGGTGATTAAGCCAAAATAAAAATTCGTTCAATTATTAATCTTCTGTTTTGTTACTCGCTGCAGGCTCTAGATCTTTTCGTGACCTCTTTTCTTTCTGACTCTGATCTCACCAGTGTCTTCCTTTAGCAGCCAAAGAAAGAACAATTGATAGCTACTTCTTGTTTGATCGCCCCAAACAACAATTTGTCCACTGGTGCTCATGTTTTCAACAAATACATCCTCTGTTTTTCACAAAAAAGCTGTTTGCCTTTAAAGTTGAGCAGTAGAAAGTTTTTGGTACAAATAAAACAACTAGATCATTTCAAACGCAATGGCCTTCCGACGATAGCTTTTAAAAACAGCCTCTATTGTTCTTGATCTGTCATCCTATAGAAACCAGTTAGAGGAGAGTAAAAAAGAAACGCAGCCACCAAAAGACTCACAGCCTGCGGTACAAAACAGAAAAACATCAACAACTAAAATAAGGGAAAACAAGGTCACAATATATACAAAACAATGCCACCTTCTACTGTTCAACTTCAACCCATCATAGTTGGACACCCCAAGTAGAAGTTCAGGTCTATGGAGAGTCAAATACAAACAATTTCAAAGACATTACAAATCTAAAATAAATCCAGAGTTCAAACAGTAAATCAGAAATTGCAAATCAAATATATAACTCACCTCCACCTTGCCAAGATTCATTGCACTTCAATGTCAGTGACAGGTACACTCAATTGGTCACAACGGAGAGGCCAAAGATTGGCAATAACAGTCTTACGATCAGGCTATCAGTTACCATGTACATTGCCGGAGCTCTTAAGAATCCTCCAACACAATCATGATTTGGGGGTCTACAAAAACTGGTTTCTCTGATATATTAGAGTGGGAAGTGGCTCCCTCAATTCCTAAGGATGGTTAGCATAGCTAAAACCAAGGGCTAGCTTGGGACTAAGTAGAATTGTTTAGTGGGAAGTTGACATCAAGTATTGGCCATCAATATCTTCTACACTCTTGTACAAGTTATCAATGCATCCTGTCCAAGAAGAACCATCGCCTGTCTGCTTCAGTATAAACCCAAGTGGAACAATAAGGAAACTGAAGAAAAAAAATTACAAAATCCTCCCCTGCTTCAGCATAGCAAACCTTCTTGGTTGACTAGCTAACTATAAGTGTAAAAGAAATGTTTGGATCACCACGCATGGTGTATTCTGCCACTTGAGAAATTATAGATATTCGCTGATCACAAAATTCGTTGATCAATTGTGCTTCTGGTTTAGGCTTGAGCAGCATATCAGTAAAGGGTGTCTTGGGGACTAATGAGCACATAAGCAAGTTCACAACCTAGTAAAAGACAGAGATCAGAAACCAGTGTTGCAGTCCAAGAAAGGTTAGCATATACTAATATGTCATCACTAGAATAACCTCATCAACGCCTACATTGAAGGTCCTCTCCTCAGTAGCTTTTGGATCCACGACTCCAAGCTTGGAAAGAAAAGGCGAGTAAGTATAAGTCTGTCTTGCCGGTCTACAATCACCCCACCAACCCGACCACGATTTGCTGAAACATTGATCCCCTGATCCATCAGATCACCACAATGGCAACAACTAACACTTGCATAATTACTAAAACTTTTCGCACAGAGGAGGCAACATGGATTATTCAAGAATTAAAGTGTGGTCTCACAATCATCAAATTCAATTTAAGCCTACTTAAAAAGGATTCAGCTGCATTGTGGGGGCACAGCAGCATGGCACAACACTCTTCAGTTAGCAAAATCTGTTCATCAATATCATGGACACTTCAATATAAATTGTTCACGCAACCGACTCCCATTGGAAGTGAACAACTACCGGAAAGCCTAACAATTTTTCCCATAGGCATTGTCAATAGACTAAGGAGAACATCAATGAAATAATTATCTGACTCTATGAAGATAACTCTGCTACCATCCTATCAGAACCAAGAGACCAAGCTACAATTTAAAATATACCAAGCAGAATGCCCACAAATCAGTCAAAACAGCTCAACACTACAAAGTAATTAATTTTAACAAAACAAAGGTACTCAGAGAAAACAGTTTGGATCACAACTTAAAAATATTAAAACAAAAAAGAATGGGTGGAGGGCAACTTACCTGACGATAGTTCAAGCTAGACTACCTCAAAACAAACCCAAATACAAAATCCTAATACCAAGAAAAGTCGCACTTGAAGAATTCAAGTGTTCATATGCCATCTCATCTGAACAAGAAAAAATTCAACACTTTCAAAACTTCGCCACCCTATGAACTCGGAAAGCTAAATATTTTTACTGTTACGATTTCAACATTACCGAGGGGAAGCTGAAAACTTAGTGAAAAGATATAATGAAAAAAATCTTTCCATTAGAAGTTTAATTTGTCATATAGGTTATTTGAATCATCTTTCGTCATTCATAAAAAGAGTTTCAGACAAAAAAATATTTTTCAAGTTTAATTTGTTGTACAGAGAAAAATTTAAAACATATAACAAAACCATAATTTCATAAAGAACTTGAAAAGACGTAGATATTTCCACCACATATACATATAAGTAGGAACAAATTCCAACAAAAGCAGGTGAATAAGTGTACAAAGTAGACACGACGTTACACACTTACTCGGGGAAAGAGAGGGTCAGCTGCAATAAGTAAGGTACAACTGTACAGAAAAATATAAGAGCAAGAGAGTGATGTTTGTAGAGTTCGAGAACAACTAATATAATGATCAGCTAGCTAACCAATAGTTTCTCGCCAAGTGACAGCAGACCCATACTATTCTTTTGCATTGTCCGAAACACATTTGCTTGATGATCATGGTCAGCCGCCGAGGAGTGGTCCTCTTACTGGATTTCGGCGTTGTTGAAGCAGTGGCAGCCTCTTTCTCTGGTTCTTTGAGCTTGCCAGTGACTCAGACAGGTGGAGGCTCATTCAAGGCAATCTGGTGTGGCAGATTGGGAAATTGAGCAAAGCCTTGGAGCCATGTATGCGTTGGGCGGCTCTATCATAAGCCAAAGCCGCTTCCTCAGAGGTCTCATAGCACCCAAGCCACACTCTGTTTCTGGATACCTTCTTAGCTGGGTCCCGAATCTCAGCCGTGAACTTCCCCAACCGCCTCTGCCTCACCCCTCTATAATGCCTCCCTCTCGCCACCCCCGACTTTCGTGCCTTATTTTGATCAGCTGCATTCAACATTGAATGACTTACAGACTCTCCATTTTCAAGTGCATGTATATCTGGAATCTCCTTGGAAGATGTATCACCATGATTAGTTTTATCTTCACCAGTAGGTTTAACCTCATTATCAATGGACTTCATATCCATCTCAGATTTCCCAGTTTTAACCTCGGCATCACCTACCACAGCAGATGCTGTACCCACATCATGTGTAACATTTTTAACAATTTGCTGAGCTGATGACTCAGATTCTTGCTCAGCATGCCTCTCAGACGTGGTTGGTCTCCAGTTCGCTCCAGATTGCACTAGGTTTTTTGTTCTGACCATATTGCTCTGATTTGTAGATGGAAGATTTACAGCAGGATGCACTGGCCTCATGTGAAGACCTCCAGCAGTTTGTACAGAGGTCTGAGATTGTACTCCATGAATTGGCATCATAGGCCTTCTGCTTCCGCCAAGATTAGACTGGCTAAGTTCAATGCCCTGAGACAATGCAATGTTCCGCTGAGACTGTGTAGAGGCATGAACATGCAGAGGGAATGAATGAGATTGACCCCGGGGATGTAACTGTGTAGGTGGTTGCTGTTGTACATAGGGCTGATGGTGGAGATATTGACGAGGAATAGATCGTTGAACTGCATGCATAAGAGGGCGCTGTTGAACAGTATTCCCAGGTTGCTGAGCATAAGAGTGAACCGGCTGCTGTTGTGCAGGATTAATGTTTCGGATTTGACCAGGAGAAGGCAACAAAGCTGGCTGCTGCTGGTTTGGAATATGAGATGGGGGCAGCCGCATGACTGGGGGTTGTTGAGGGGACTGACTCTGTATTTGAACAGGAGTTTGTGACTGAGAGTGAGGTACACCATGAGATTGCATGTCCATAGTACGTTGTTGTGGGGCGCCTGACTGCACTGGTTGGTGAAGGCGAGGTTGAGGGTACAAGTGATTACCAGTCACTGCATGAGATGATGGATGTTGTGTCTGAGGCTGGACGGTAGTATTCATGGGCTGAGAAGGGTGAAGTTGGGGATGGGGCTGGGGATGCCGTTGAAGCTGTGGCTGAGGTTGTGAATGAGGTTGGGGTTGAGAAATGGGATGGTGTTGCGGGTGAATCTTGGAGTGGGTATGTTGCTGAATTTGGGCCTGCTGATTATGAGGCATTTGCACATGCTGAGGATGTGGTTGTGAATGGGATGGAGCTTGGAAATATTGAGGTTGAGGGAGTGGCTGCCTACGAGCAGCTGGATAAGTCTGCACTGCAGGGTGAAGTTGCTGCTGTTTGTTCACTTGTGCCTGATTTTGAGTTTGAGAGGCAACAGGAACCTGCACATGCGGGGGCTGAATTTGGGGTTGGGGTTGAGCTTGAGATTGAGATAGTTGGGCCCGTAGTGAAGGTTGAGTTTGGGGCTGAGATTGCAAGTATGCCCGAGGTTGATTCTGGACTGTCCCGTATGTTGGATGAGATTGCAAATGCCGCTGCTGTGATTGTTGAACTGCTGCCTGTTGATAGGTAAAGTAGTTCTTAAGGTAGTACTGTTGATATTGTTGCTGATGTTGGTACCACTGTTCAGCAGTTTGCACAGCAGCTTGAACAACAGCTTGAGAACTAGAGTTTGCTTTCTGATCTGGATCGGATCCAGGTGGAGTGACACTTGTAATTTGAAAAACCTGGGCCTGAGACTTCGCTACTCCTGACTGAGTGGCAGCCTGGGTCTGATCAGCAGTGGCTGATGTGCCAGAAGCTGAAGTGTCCAAAGCACCATCAGCCTGCTGCGCTTGAGGCTGCACACCCTGTCATTAAAAGATAACCATAAAATCATTTCTAAATTCCAGATAGTAACTTTTCATCTTGTAAGAAAAAGAAAACTAAAATACTCACAGGGCAATTTTGTGCATGCTCCTGCACCTGACGATGCACAATTTGGATTCCACACCTGTTGCATACTACAGGAAAATTGCCAAAGGCACATCCACAGCTCCCTGCCATGTGCATCCACTCCTGTGATAGAGGCAATCAACTGCTACTTTTCCTATGGTTTCAGGGCGGGTCTTATTCCGTTCGACAAGTGGCTGCATTGATTAGTTACAGTAAAGTTGTATCCATAAGCAGATAATAAAGATCAAAGATATTTGTTACGACCAAGGTTGTATAAGGAAGGACCTTGGCATCGGCTTCTGTCACTAAGTAGCTGTCATATGGGAACTGTCAGGTAGGGCTCACAACGTATGTCAAATATGGCTTCTAGTATAGATGAGTGCACTGTCACTGCAATGCTTCATCGGGTAGACAAACAGACTACAAACCAGACAAAAGTACTCTCCGGCAAGAGATTGGATATTCAATACGCACTCATTATCAAATCCCATGCCGCTCTACAAGCTCAGCTTCAGGTCCTGGTGCATAAATTTTATCAACCTGATTGAGAACAGAAATTGTGAGGCCCTTTGTGAACATAAAGAAACAAACTATCTTCCGTCAACATTTATGACATATTGGCCTCAAAGCAACACCTCGTCTTTTTTTTCCTCAAGCAACAGGTAAAGGGCCTTACTCAGTTCAAAATCATACAACAAATCCTCATGCAAATCTAATGACCCAACGCATAGAAGCAATTACCCACTTTTACAAACAAAACAAGAAAGCAGGAAGGCGCACAGCGATATGCAAGTGAATAGTCAGACATGCAAATCCAGTGTGTACCCAATCACTGCATTAGGCATTTAGTAATAATCAGCAAAATGGTAAAGAAAAACCCAAACTTACGCGTACCAAAACACCGGACCGAAAAAGATCAATCAAAATCCGTGTTTTTGTACGGTTGCCACTTTCATAAGCCTGAAGTTATTAAATTTAAGATTCGTATATATATAAATAAAAAATAAACATTAAACATTAAACTTTCCTTCCCAAATCCCCAATTCCCACACTTTCTCAGCAGCCAAACATTACAATAGGTAAACCAAAAAAGATATGATTTTGGTACCAGGAAAATTCCCTATTATCCGTCAATTCGATTCAAGACCCTAAACCCTATCCCAATTCGCACATTTTCTCAGCACACTAGGGTTTTCATGAACGAAATCGTTTTGCGTGAAGTGTGTAGAGTAAAAAGTAGTAGTTACAGTTGGCGCGGATTGCTCCAGAAACGCAAAGAGTCTCTCCGCACAAAAGAGAGAGAGAGAGAGAGAGAGAGAGAGAGAGATGCTAAATGCGAACGAAAACAGAAGACGCAGAGCAACAACGGTGCTTAGCAAGTGTATGTTACAGTATGCACATGAGTGCTTGTTGCTTTTCTTTTTATTTTTTTCGTGTTTTGTTCTCTGATTTTCCGCCGAAAGTGAATGATACCGAAAAATGATTGACGTGGGAAATGTTACTCCTTTTTTTTGGGTGAAATTTTTGTTGAGACCACCGATCTACAGGTAAAATACTCTTGTCCCTGAGTCTGACGAGCTATGGATCCGTCGAGCTTCTATTGGTACCAAGAAAGCATGAAAACCCCAATTTACCCTTTTGGAAAAAATAAAACACAACCATGCCTTTCTAGCACTTTCTGTTCCAATACAAATTTTGAGCTTGCTTATGTGCAAACTTGAGTCAGACACCTTCTGACAGAAACTGTGCTAAAGGATGAACCATAACAAAAATTGATCAATGAAAATTTTAATGAAGAAATATGTATCGAACCACGAATGGAAGGAGACGGAGTGAATGAGGAAAGAAGCATTTATGTGAAGCTAATGGTTTGCAAATGAAAGAAGATGGTTTGTTATGCAGATGCAGGGGAGGGTTTTGTTAGTTTACTCTTTAGTTTCCTAACCATTCCTCTTGGGTTTGCTTTAAAACGTTCTTTGTCAGGTTTTTTATTTGCTTATCTGCTCATTAGTATACCTCTGACTGATATTCTTCTGAAGAATAAATCCGTATTGTATTTGACCAAAGTCGTTCGTGACCAAAAGATCAATGTAAATTCCCGTTTGGTTGGTGACACCAGGAACAAGGATGAAGCAAACATATCTTCCAAGCTTATAGTTAGCAAATCTACGGATGTGGTTTGTTATGCAGAAGCTGGAGAAGATTATGTGAATTTACTTTTTAGTTTCCTAATTGTTCCAATCAGGTTCATTTAGAAAGAAATGATGCAGATGGCAGTGCTCGAGGATTCTTGAAACGACGGGCAATGTTCATGGTAGAGGACAGTCTCATTGTGAGACCAGTATCTCCAATCCTTGGTGTGTCTGTTCTGAACCAACTGAGTGTTCCTCTCAATGTTATTGAGGTGCAAGTGGTGAATGTGGGGCAAGCAAAGAGGTGAGTTATTTCATTTTGTGACTTGTGGTTTTTCTAGTATGTTGTTAAAACAATTGTTTCTTAATCTCAAATTTTGTTTAGACACACACACATAATATCCTGGTCATGTATTGTGAAATTGTTTTCTGTATTCATGTTTGTGATGTTTTAATTGTCTTTGCACTGCAGGCATTTCGTCTTTTGGTTGCTTCTTTTGTTACCGACTCTGCTCTAACCGGTGTTTTCCTGAGGTAGCCAAAGCAAGAACAATGAGGAACAGGATACATGGCTTGGTTTACCTAAATTTCTACTGGCTGATATGATGTCCTTGCTAAATCCAGCTTGTAAAATGGCCAAAGTTATGTTTTTAATTTGAATCCATTCTGAGGAAGCTTATATGAAACTGTAATGGCATTACTATCTTTAGGCTTTTCATTGAATCTTATATATTATTTTATATAAAGATTTTCTTTAAAAAGATTGTACACCTAATTTTTCTTTTATTGTAATGCGATTCAATCTGGTAAATTGTTCCAGATGGCGTTATTCAAATGAATATCCCCCAGTGGTGTTAAAAAAACTTAAAATTGAGAACGCATTAAACCCCAAAAAAGTATGTGAAATTAGACCTAGAGAAAGAAGGATTTATACTGTGCTTTACAAAACTAGACTGCTCAACCAGCAATGGTTACACTTAGTTTCCAATAGATCCTCCAATAGATCCTCATTGTTCCTGCTTTATCTTCTAAGGAAGACACTGGTTAGAGCAGCAGATTCACAACCAAAAGAAGCCACCAAAAGACCAAAAGCCTGCATTAACAAACACAACCAAATTATTGAAAAATCATACGAGATTTAACTATCAAAATATACTTTCTTTCAACAGAAACTTGGACAACTGAGGAAATCAAAACTTATAAATCAAAACTCTCACCTCCTCCACGCCCACATGCACGGTTTGCACTTCAACATCAGTGATAGGCACATTCATATCATTCAGAACAGACAGGCCAAGGATCGGAGATATCGAGCTTACAACAAGACTGTCAGTTACCATAAACATGGCAGGTCCTTTTAAGAAACCTAGACTTGAGTCTTCGTCTTCATCCTCATAATATTGTGATAAGGGGTCCACAATCTCGGCTTGATCACCAAGAACATTTGAGGCCTCTTCAATTCCTAAAGGATGGTTCTGGTAACAAAATCCAGGGGAAGGCTTGGGCCTAACTACCAGTTCCTTGCGCGTATCAGACTTCCATAACCGCCCATCAAGATTCTTGACACTTTTGTACAAGCGATCAATGCATCCTTTCAAGCAAAGATCATGCGATGCTTTTAATATAAAACCAAGTGGAAGCATTAGGAAGCTGAAAAGTAAGTTAACAAAATCCTCCCCTGCTTCTGCGTAACAAACCACATTCTTAGATTTGCTAACTATAAGCTTCACCAAAATTTCATTAGCTTCCCAATACATGTCGCGCGCCTCTTCTATCATTTGAGAATTTATACTAATTTGTTGAGTGCCAATGTTCTTGTTAAACATTGATTGTGGTCTACGCTTCAGAAAAATATCGGTCAGGGGCGTCTTTGATACGAATGAGCACATAAGTAAATTCAAAACCTGGAAAGGAGAGACGAAATTTGTAAAGATCAGAAAACAAAATTGCAAATTTGAAGAAGAAAAAGAAGATATTGGAATAATTCTTACCTCATCAGCTCCAATATCCAAACTCAACTCTTCAATAGTATTTGAATCCATGGCTCCAGCCTTCTTTAACAAAGAAGAGCTTACTGAAGTTTCGGGGGGCAGGACTTGCAAATCATCACTAATTATTAGTCTCACTGGTCCTTTTACAAACACCTCATGACCAGCTTTAGCATAAACATCGACTGCGGTGTTCATTAGATTTCCACAACGACAAGGAACGGTATTGTAATAACTAAGCCTAGTTGGAGTCCAACAAGGAACATTAGAGCACCTAAAGAACCGTGTGTTATCACAATCATCAATGTTCATTTCGAGGTTCTCTACAATCGGTCCAGCTCCATTTCGTGGGCATAGCAACATGTCCCAACAATTAGTCCGAAAATGCTGCACATCAATATCCTTAACACTTGCATACAAATTCTTCATGCAACCTATTCCCAGTGGTGCAGAATGGTTGCGAGCAAGCTTGATAATTGTTCCCATGGGCAGTGTCAAGAAACTGACGAGAACATCTATGAATTCATGACCAGACTCTATGAAGATAACTCTGTTGCTCCCTTTATTCACCAAGGCCTTCAAGCTGATATTGTTCAAAGATTCATCCGCCATGGATTGCTAGAACTTGGGCTGCTTCCACTATTATCACAAATTAACAAGGAGAACAATTTTCACAAAACCAATGTAAGCCCATTAGAAAATATAAATCATAAAAAGCTTTTTAAAAAAATTTCCACAACTTACAAACATAACTTCTCAACAGTACAAAACATGTACTTAGATTAATCAAGCAGTGACTGCCACTACAATTACACCTGCATTTTGCTTTCAGTTACTTGCAGGCATTAATTTCGAACTCATGTAACACTAGTTCTTAATAATAATAAAAACTATTTGAACAGAACAGAAAATAAGTGTTTCTTACCTTCAATGGTCTTGTCCAAGACACCAAATCAAAAGCCTTCAACCGTACCTGCTCAAATATCACAAGCAAAAGCTGGATTAATTACCCAGAAAAGTTACACAACAAAAACCCATTCGGGTTTCGGGAACATACCAAACGAAAGTTTGCTCTTTTCCAAGAAGGATTCTGAAAGCTAGAATATATAAAAAAGCTTCGTTTTGAGAACAAGGTCAACTGAAGGGGGCAGGACCTTGAGGAGGCAGCGGTTGTGATGATGCCGTTTATGGCAAGCAAGGAGCAAAGCAGAGCTTTATAGCCAAAGACACGCCAGGCGATAAACCCTAAAGCCAAAACATTCAAACGGGGGTTTGCATCTTGTATGAGATTGGAAGTTACTTGGACATATTTTTTTGTTAGAAGTTTACTTGGACTTAAAGACTCAAAAGTTAAAATATGTTCCACATAAAGTTATAAGTCCACGCAAAATTTAACACGTGTTGTGAATATAAATTTTTTTTAATAAGAAGATTGATTTCTCAATCACATTGAGCAAACATGGTTAGCTGTTACATTTTTGCTCACCCTCCTTAACTGAAGTATAGCCTACGTGTCGTTGCATTATTGGTCGGGATAATAAAAAGTGTTATCTCCGTTGCATGACAGTGTTTCTCCAGCTGTCACCCCTTAATATACACTCTTCCAAACAAATAGGGGGTCATTTGGCACCGGGGTCTGTCCTGGACTGGACTAAATCTAGGGACTGTCTCAGATTAGCTTGGATTGGCCTAAGCTGAATTAAGTACTGACCTACGTTTGGTGCTGCTTCGGACTAAGAAGTTGGATTGTAAAAATAGTGAAGACCTATGTTTGGTGATGTGTTAGACAAAAAAATAATTCTTATAATATTTAAATTTAATTGGTGTTTTTGACCTAAAAGAAAAATAAATGCTACAAAGAAACCCAATCCAAAGATTTATAACAATATCTGGCAAAAAAAAAAGAAGATTTAAAACAATAATAAAAAGAAAACAAATAAAATTCTGTTTTTATTTTTTTATTTTTATGAATAATAAAATTATGATATTTGTTTTTTGGCTTCTCAAGATTAATCTTAGGGCTCGTTTGGGAGTAATTCTGGATAGGCCAAAAAGCACTTACATAGAGAATCACTTCTCCATATAATCACTTTAAATGATTTTAAGTGATTTTATGAATAAGCACATGGGAGCTGCTTCTTCCCATAATCACGTAAAATCACTTAAAGTGATTATATGGAGAAGCACATGGGAGATGCTTCTTCCTAGAAGTGATTTTGGCATATTCAAAATCACTCCCAAACGAGCCTTTAGTTGGTCGAAACATTGTTAAAGAAGCTAAGTTCACTCTATATAATTCTAGGTTTTTCAAGGACCAAGTAACACAATAATTAAAAAAATTATATATATATACGTATAATTTTTGTATATTTGACTTTTGACTTCAAACTGAAAAATATAATTTGACAAGGTAAAAATTGCTTGCGATAAAGAAGCATCACATCATGAATTATTAAATTTGTTTCAATATCAAAAAAATATCAAACATTTGTAAATTACTATGGTTTGATTTTTCAAATGCAATATCAAAATAATTATTGTAATATTTAAATTTAATTAAGGATTTTTATCTTAAGAAAATAAATGATGCAAAAAAACCCATTCAAAAATCTAAAACAATAATTAAAAGATAACAAATAAAATTATAATATTATTTAAAGAGAGGCGTTGGACTCACGTGTTATATTTAGAGAGTGTGCTATTTAGCGAACCACTTTTCAGGCTCACTGTATTAGATAAGCTAGTGAGGCTTTTTTTTTCTTCACTATTGGACTATACAGTCTTATTTAAGTTAATCCCGTCACTTACCAAAAAGGGTTTCGAGTGCTATTTAACTCAGTCTAGTCCAATGAGGCATACCAAACATGGCCTAAGAGTTTAGATTTTCTTCTCTTTACATTCATCTAGTAATTCTACATAAATTGATAATAAAATAGTAATTTTGAGGACCTTTCCTATTAAGAGGAGTTATAACATACTAAACTTACACACTTACTACACTAATGACTTGAGTTCAGGACTTATTCTTTGGGTGTAATTGCTCCAAATCACTACACTAGTGGGTTCTTTACAACAAGAGTAATTTAAATAGAAAGATAATCAACACTTGTACTGTTAGACGTATCCAATGCAAACAATAGCCTGACAAAGGGTTTGGTCCCATTCGGTTTCCCATTTAGGTGCCAATATAGAACCCATCATTGATTTGAGATATTGATAAGGCGAATTACCTGTCTATTCAAGTTTTTGCTAATCGGGGCTAAAACTCCGGAAATTAGAAATGCCAAAATTGGAATAACACTTGATACTACCAGAAATACCACCTGGCAACTAACTGCAACGCTTGGGCACGTGGCATACGAAAGGTACAAACTTTTTTCCTTTACTGCAATTATCCCGCGCAATCTTGTGTTTTAGGGTTGATAGGGTGCTTTTGGGTTTGGGTATAAAGCTCTGTTCCTCTTCTTGCTCAAACCCTTCATATCTGTTGCTCGTTGTTTTCTACACTGTTCTCTGGTCATCTACCACTACCTTGCATTTGGTGAAGGAACAGTTTGCACCTTGTAAAAAAGTCCAAAGTTACAATCTTTCCAACAATACCCGAAATCCCACACCCCCTTCACTTGATTTTCGCCTAAAAATGAAATCTTTCTCTTATTATAACTTTCAGAAGCTGAAATGCTTGTTGGGAAAGAAAGAGTAAAGCTTTCGTTTGGTAAGCTCTCACAAGTTCACAACCCAATGGGTGTTTGCCTTATTTGGGTTTGTGGTTCTCGTTGTCTTATAATGTGTTTAGAACAATGGCTTTTAGGAGTAATTTTTCTAGGTTCATATCCTGTGTTTGCATGTCAGATTTATTTCAGGAGGTTGAAGGATTTGGTTTTGGAGTTTTGGAAAGAGGACCATCGGAGGTAAGAACCTCTTCTTCTCATTACACTCAGTTCCATTTGTTTTTTTTAAGTTGTGGATTATATTTTGGATTTTATTATTATTTATGTTTCTTGATGGGTTTGTGCTATGGGATGATGTTATTTTCACATTGGTTTTTCTGTACTGTTTTCCTTTTTTATTATTTGTAATAATTGATGATTTGATTTCTGTTATTATCTCAAATTATTTGACTTTAGAAGATGGGTTGAATCCCAAAAGCTGCCAAGTTGATAATATGTGCTCTTGACTGCTAAAGAAGGTTATTTGTTCGATTTTCAATCTCATGAAATTCATAACTAAATATATAGCTCAGTATCCGAGTGTGCTTTTATCTTTTACAGTAACATATTTTCCTTTAAAAAAATAAACCACATTTGTATTCTTTTAACTATTAATGTCGCAAAATTTCATCTCTTTTCCTGTAATTGATTTGTATTTTGATGCCTTTTTTCATGTTACCAGAGAAACAACTTTACATCAGTGTGTGCTACTCGGGCCTTAATCAGAAGCAGTTATCTTTCAACAATTATCTGTGCCCTGATTTGGACAAAAAGGGGAAGTCAAAGGCGAAGTTATACTCTGTTACAATCCGTGGCTGAGACATCTGCGAACACCATTAGCTTGAAAGCCTTGGTGGATAAGGCGAGCAACCAAATTATCTTTATAGAGTCCGATAATGATTTTATTGATGTTCTCTTCAGTTTCTTGACAATCCCCATGGGAACAATTATGAGGCTGGCCCCTAATCAGTCAGTACCATTAGAAATAGGTTGTATAAAAAATTTGTATTTAAGTGTTAAGAATATGGATGTAAAGCATTTCCGTACTGAAGCATGTAGAGACATGTTGCTATGTCCTCACAATGTGGCAGAATCTCAGTGCAGGAACCTCAAACTGAAGATTGACAATGGTGAGCCCACACAGTATTTTTTGTGCTCACGTAACTACAGAGCAGAATGTAAGTTAAGTTATAACAAAATTAGTTCTTGTGATTGTGGAGGAAGCATGACTGAGAAGAAAAATCTTTTAGTGAGTCTAGATGGAGGCATCTTTGTGAAAGGACTGGCCAGACTTATAATTGGTGATAATTTACAAGTGATGCCACCATTAACTTTGGAAGGCCTTTCTGTATTTACAGAGCTTGGAGTCAGGAATGGGAATACTACTGAGGAGTTGACTTTCAATGTAGGATCTGATGAGGTAATTGAAGTATTGACTTGTGGATTTTTTTTTCTTACAACTGTATTAGTGATTCTTACTTGACTTATGCTTTTAGGTTTTGAATTTGCTTATATGCTCGTTAGTATCAAGGACACCTTTGACAGAAACTCTGCTGAAGAATAAACCAATATGAAAGTTGAGCAATGACAACCAAGGAATAAATATTGAACCTCAAATAGTTGTAGACGCAACAGATCCTGAAGGAAACCTCTCCATCAAGATTATAGTGAGCAAATCTAAGAAGATGGTTTGTTATGCAGAAGTAGGAGAGGATTTTGTGAATTTACTCCTCAGTTTCCTAACTATTCCACTGGGTTTTGTTGTAAAACAAATGAGGGATTGCGCATTAAAAGGATGCATTAATCAGTTGTTCAAGAGTGTCCAAGATCTTGATGATTGCTACTTGAAGTCAGACTACCACAAAGAAATGCTACTCGGTCCCAAGCTTGTACCTGGCTTTTGCTATGAGAACCATCTCTTAGGAACCGAGGAGGCCACATATTATTATGCACTTGGTATGCTGTCTACTGATAAAACTCTCATCGCTTCTCGTATTTCAGCTGCTAAGAAAACTAGGAGGTCATATTATGGCGAAGAAAGTGCTCAGACTAGTATTAAGTCAGTGACAGTCATGGTCCCAAATCCCACAATGATCAAGATAAAAGTGCTGAAGGTCAAGGATTTTTAGGAGGACCAGCGATGTTCACAGTAACTGACAATTTGATCATAAGACCTATATCTCTAATGTTTGGTCTGTCTCTTCTGAATGAACTGAAGGTGCCTTCGACTGACATTGAAGTGAAAATTGTGCATGTGCGCAGAGAAGAGGTGAGCTATTAATTATAATTTTCGATGAACTTTACTTTAAGCTTAATTTTCACTGCAACCCTCCATTGCTGTCCTTCTGCCACTTCAACTGGACTGCACATACAGCGATTATATCTCTCATGCTGATGCTTCAAGTTGTTGAGTAAAACCCATGGCACAAAGATTCATGAACTTGTACACTATCCTTATATGAGTTATTGACTGCACACACAACATTCTCACTTCTCACCTATTTCATGCCCACACCTCACCTTTTCTTTTATGCAAACAAAACATGGAAGCATTGAATCCTTTTATAGTACTGCAAGTCGATTAGGTAGCTGGCTTCAATGGCATCGTGGAAGTTGTCGTATTGCAACAGGGAACAAATATTTCGCCAGAGAGTCTATTGGCTCTCCAACAAAGGTCCTCTAAACTGAGTGGCTATCTCTAGATAGGGGTTATCTGTTGTTTAAATTGTTGATGACTCTTGAATATGTTCCTTCTTACAGGCTTTGCGTCTTTTGGTGGCTTCTTTTGTTTGTGACTTGGCGCTAACCAATGCCTTCATTAGGGAGCCGAAGCAGAACAAAAAGCCAAAGCAAGAACAATGTTGAGAGCTTGCTTATATATAGATGTTGTTGTTGCAAAATGGAAGTCCAGTATGGATTTTGGTGTTAGAATACTTCTTTTGTTGACATGTACTTGCTATGTGATCTGCATAGAGTGTTGCTATTAGCGTACGGATATGAATTCTGGGTATGCTGAAGAAAAAAATGTAGATAGCCAGCATGAAACAAATTGATATATGTAATGTTTGACGTGACAGTTTGCTTTATATTAGTAGTTCATATAAAATATTAAGTTTGGAAAAGCTAAATTTGTGGGAGGGATCATGATAACATATATGTATAATATATATGCATGCAAGAGTCATGATCTTTTTATTATACATTAATTAGCTGAGTCTCTCTCTGTTCCCGAGTTATTGCATTTCCAATACCTTGGTACATTTCTGCAGCATTTAGTTTGCCGTTTGCATGGGATTTTCTTTTAAATGGTATCAATATGTGGAATTATTTGTCTTTCCAATTCTTTATCGAGTTATAATTTTATTTTATTTTATTTCAAAACGAATTTCCATAATTTATTAATATTTTTGCAATTGAATTAGTTTCTTACGTAGGGGGTTGTCATCCCGAACAAATTATTTTGGTTTCTTTATCAACAAATTATGTCTTGGTTTTTCTAAACGACTAATTTATTTCATGGGATTCGTTCTATATTTCTTCTTCCAAAATGGTTCACCATTACCTATAAATTAAATTTACCGAAATTTATTACTGAATTCTTTTCATCTTCCAAAGATACTGCTATAAATAAAGCCTTCGTATGGAAGCTTGTGATCACAAGGGGTAAAGAGAGGAAAGTGGAGTTTTTATATCTTCATTTATTTCTCACACACCAGACACCACTGATGGCTGCTCTGCTAAGCATCACCCTGAAGGCCCTGGTGAACGAGGACAGACACGAAGTCATCTTCGTAGAGTCTGAGGTTGATTTTATCAATGCCCTCTTTAGTTTATTGACAGTCACCATGGGAACACTTATCGGACTTGGTCGTAGCCATCCAGTTCCAAATGGAATAGGTGCTAAAATATAATATGGTTTGTATACTTTTGGTTCAAATTGGAGTTTTTGTTTGATTTTAGTTTGTTTGATTTGGGTTTAATTGGGCCCAATCGACTTAGTTGCAACGGGAATAACACTGTTTTGCTATTCTCGTCTAATAATGCTATGCCACGCATCTCATGGAAGTCTTTCTCGTCACAATGGGCTGGGACCCCAAATTTCTTCCTAGTTTAGCATATCGTACGTTTAATACTTAGCTTTCTATAATATAAAAGCTAAGGCCAAAATGGTGGCCAATAACATGCACCTCTTTACTACTCCACCCAAGTGAACTTTGCTTTACTACTATATGTTGTTTAGACTCATGATCTTCTTCCACTTATATTACTTTACTTTAAGCTGACCCTTTCTCTTTTAAGTCTTGGTGTGCTTTCATGACCGTATGGAAGACCCCGATCCACCTGAGATTCGTAGACTTTGGATTTGGGTCTACGGATCCCTGAACTTATTTTATGAACTGATTTTTAAAATTTTTAAGTATGAAACTAGAAAATGTAAACTAGCAAAATGAAAGGATACAATTACGATAGAAATTAAAATAATAATTCAATCAAATACAGTCAAAGAAATAATAAAGGTATGATAATCTTTGATGAGTATGGTGAGTGGTCATGGAAGTCTTTCTCGTCAATGTCTACGTAATGATTCTTTTGCATAAATAAACTGTGAGAATAAAACTTTTAAATATGTTAGGGACAATTTGGAGATAAAGTTTGAGCGACCAAACTTAAAGGAATTTGTGTTCTTATCTTTTTCTTTTTCTTTTTCTTCTCTTTGGTTACAACTAAATCCCCTTAAGCAATACCCTTATTTTTGACAGCACACAACTAAATCCTTGGCTCTTGGGAAAGTAAGTTGTAGTCTCTCTCATATCAGCAAAAACAATTTTCATATTTCAGAGGTTAGTGAACTTCCTTGATCGGTGAGCGTTCCTGATGATTTAGATTACCTCGATTTTTTTACAATTTATTTGCAATGTTGAGACTGATTTATGTACTGGTAGAGTTGATTATAGTTTGAATCTGGAATAATTTTTTAATTTCTGCTATTTGCTATTGGATTTGAATATAGTGAAGATTTTGATCCAAGTTTTTTTTTTTTTCTTTTCTTACAGTCCATGGCCGATAAATCTATGGACAATATTGAGTTGAAGGTCTTGGTGAACAACGTGAGCAACAAAGTGATCTTCGTAGAGTCTGATGGTGATTTTATTGATGTTCTCTTCAGTTTCTTGACAATCCCTATGGGAACAGTTATTAGGCTTTCCCATCGTTCACAACCCTTGGGAATTGGTTGCATGGACAACATATATGGAAGTGTGGAGAGTTTTGACTCACAGCTTTTCCGAACTGAAGAATGTAGAGCCATGCTGTTACGTCCCCGCAATAGGACAGAATATCTCTTGGACAACCTCAAACTGAAATTTGATGATTGCGAAGCCACGCGGTACTTTACGTGTTCTAATCCACATTGCAGAATTTTTCGGAACAGTCTTGTTTTTAGTTATTACCAAACGGTTCGTTGTCGTCGTTGTGAACGTCTAATGGACACGGAGACCACCCTTCCAGTGTCTGGTGCTGAAGATGGTGAGGTCTTTGTAAAAGGTCCAGCCAGATTTATAATTAGTGATGATTTACAAGTGATGCCCCCATTTACTTCTACAAGCTCTTCTTTAGTTAAGAACCTAGGATGCACGGGATGGAATAGTATTGAGGAGTTGACAGTCAATGTAGGAGTTGATGAGGTAAATGATCTGTTATACCACCAAAGTTAATTTTCTAGTAAGAAATGAAATGCTAGTTTCTGATGATCATTTCACTTTCTTCAGGTTTTGAAGTTGCTTATGTGCTCATTAGTATCAAAGATGCCGTTGACTGAAACTCTGCTGAAGCATGAACCCCTCCCAGAATTGAGCAATGAAAATGTTGATCAAGAAATATATGTTGAATCTCGAATGTTAGGCGACGCCATGAATGAGGAAGAAGAAAAGATTTCTATTAAGCTCATAGTTAGCAAATCTAGGAAGATGGTTTGTTATGCAGAAGCAGGGGAGGAGTTTGTTAATTTACTCTTCAGTTTCTTGACTCTTCCACTCGGGTTTATTGTGAAACAGATGCAGGATAACTCTATGAAAGGATGCATTGATCAATTGTACAAAAGTGTCCAGGATCTTGATGAGCAATGCTTGAAGTCAAATAACCATAAGAAAATGCTAGTGAGTCCCAAGCTTCTCCCTGGATTTGGCTATAAGAACCATCCTTTGGGAATAGAGGAAGCCTCGTATCGGCTGGCTGTTGATACCACCCTCATCCACTCTAATAAACAAGTGAAATCAGTTGAATTCATAGACCCCAAATCCCACCGTAACAAAGATGATGACGCTCTTGGATTTTTGAAAGGACCGGCAATGTTCATGATAACCGACAGTCTCAACATAAGTCCGATCTCTGCAATTCTTGGCCTGTCAATTTTATGCGAATTGAACGTACCTGTCACTGACATTGAGGTACAAGTTGCTCAAGTGGGCAAGAAGGAGGTGAGTTATATATCATTTATGTTTATCATTTGTAATTTACCTTAAACTACTCTGGTTGAATCCTTAGCTGTGAGTTTCTATTTTGTTTGAAATTTGAGGCAGTTGGTTTATGATGAATATTCAATAAAGTGTTGCTGCTTGACCACGGCTGTTATTCAACATGGTTAAAGCCCAAGTAGCTAGCATGTGTTGAAAGTGGTTGATCTATTTGTGACAGTTTATAAATCTCTTTCATATGTTGATCAATCTTGTTTCTTACTGCAGGCACTCCGTCTTTTGGTGGCTTCTTTTGTTTGTGACTCTGCTCTAACCAGTGTCTTCCTTAGGAAGCCAAATCGAGGATTTGGATGCCTTAGTTTTCTAATTTAAGAAGAGGATGTATTTTGTGTTGCAGATGAATTAATTTTCTACTTTATGTATTGTTCTCTGCACTATTGTATGTTTTGTGTTATACAACTTGAAACGCTTATGATTGTTGGATTGCTGTGAGATATTGCTTTGTATCTGTGTGCCCTGTCTTGGTTTCATCTTGCTCTGTATCTAACTGTGTTAATGGGGGAAAAATTATACCCTTAAAATTCTGGCAATCAGGAGGTCCAAACAGTGATTAGGTCCTCAGTTGAAATCCAGCTTCTAAACTCATATATATGATTCTAGCCAATTTTCACAAAAAGGTTATCGGAGTCTAGTTTTCGCCCTTCTTTGTAGTATCTTACCATCGCCTCGTCTGCCGCCATTGCTGAGGCTGAAGCAGCCCTTCTTGGCTGTCGTGGCTACTGAGAGAAACCTCCACCATCTTCAGATCGAATCAGATTCGAGATTTTTGGTGTTTTGGTTCAGGGGAACTTTCGCAACAGTATGTGGGAGTTATTCTCAACTCTTACTAGAATCAAGGAAGTATGCAGAGCCTTTAGTTCTGTGTTTCTACTTTCTTAGGTCAGTGGTAGGGATATATTACTCACCGGTTCAATTGCCAGTGGAGGAGGAAGTTTATTCTGAAATTTTGCTTCACGGTTGGTCTGATGCATCTTATGTAGGCTCTTTGCTTTCTTCTTCTTCTTGGAATTGTATTATTCTTATTTATAATTCGATCAAACTCAACACTTGTTGTAGTAGTCTCAGTTAGCAATTAAATGCTACAATCCTTTTAGAAAACTAAGTGGAGGCCTATCCAATTTATACAAAAATTATAAAGCTTAATGAGCTAACTGGGCAAGAGAAACAAGAAGTGAAAAATACGTATATACGAGTACAAGGTCTTTAAGACGTGTATGGAAAGCGAAAGTATTAATGAAAAATACATACTTATGTGTATAATACGAGTATTTAATGGGAAAATGCTGAAGCACATAGCCGTGGGGCTATACTATTTATTAAAAATAAAAAACCACAGTAAAGCCGCCTAGCGATTTGGTAACCACGTGTCAAAACCAATATCGCAGCGCGCGGCTGTACTATTTTTTTTTTTAAAATATACCGTAGTAAAGCCATATGGCTATACTATTTGGTAAAAATAAAACCCCCGGTATGGCCGGGCGGCTATACTATTTTAGAAAAAGTCAAAAAACCTGTGTATAGCCCTGCGGCTATACTATTTATAGAACAAAGGGACCCGACTAGCGATTAGGCGACCACGTGTCAAAACAAGTATAACTGGGTGGTGATACTATTTAAAAAAAAATCGTAGTACATAACTAGTATAGCCGCGCGGCTATACTATTTAGTAAAAGAAGAAAAAGAAAAAAGGAACCCACATGTCAAAAAAGGTGTAGCTGTGCTGCTCTACTATTTCTTGAAAATATATTATTTTTATTCCATAATATGTGAAAATTATGTGTATAATACATGAATTTTGTGTGTATTCTTGAAAATTTTGTAAAAAGCATGTTTATTAAAAATGGAAAAATAGGTATGTACGTGTACAATATAAGTATTGTATGTTTGCTTTTTAAAAATTATGTATTTTACTGAGTTTATAAGACGTGTACATAAAACAGATGTATTTTTGAAAAATACATACGTACATGTATCATACGAGTAATAAATGTGAAAATGCTAAATCCTTTATATGGTTAATAACTCTGGCAAAGTAAAAAAAATTAAAGGGGACAATGCAGACTCGAGTAATGGCGTAATAATAGTGGATAATGCTTCATAGTAAAGCCGCCCGACTATACTATGTTGAAAAATATCCCAAAGTATAGCCGCGCGGTTATACTATTTGTAGAGAAAAAGACGCTCCTTGCGTCTAGGCGACCACGTGTCAAAATAGGTATACCCGCACGCGATACTATTTTTGTTTTTTTTTTAATTTAAAAAAAAATACCTTAGTAAAGCCGAGCGACTATACTAGGAAAAAAAGAGACCCGTCAACGCCCACCTGTCAAAACAAGTATAGTCGCCCGGCTATACTGTTAATTGTTTCAGGCTTTGTGTCTTTTGGTGGCTTCTTTCCTTGGCGACTCTGCTCTATCCGATGTCTTCATTAGGCAGCCAGTGCAAGAACAATAAAACTCAAAATAATTAGGGTTTAAAATTGATATGTTTATTCTTCTCTCAAGGAGGAATATATATACTACATACAAAGTGGTTACAAATAGGAAATATGTACAAAATCTCCTAATTCTACTCAAATTAGACAATTATAATAAAATAAAAATTCTATTCTTAATAGGAACAAATTCTATTCCTAATAGGAACGTTGACTCACGCCAACACTCCCCTTCAAGTTGGTGCATAGATATCAGTAATGCCCAACTTGTCAAGTGAGTCTTCAATTCAGCGCTTTGACACGACATATGTCAACATATCTGCAAGTTGCTCTGAAGAAGGCACAAAAGGTATAGAAATTAACTTATGCTCCAGCTTCTCCTTAATGAAATGCCGATCAACTTCTACATGCTTAGTTCGATCATGTTGAACCGAATTGTTAGCAATTTCAAATGCAGATTGATTATCACAGTAGAGCTTTGTAGCACCATTCGGTCTAAACCCAATTTCAGCAAGTAACCACCTTAACCACAGTATTTTACAAACCCCTTGGGCAATCCCTCTGTACTCAGACTCTGTAGAGGACCGAGACACAACATTTTGCTTCTTGCTACTCCACGTAACTAGGTTACCACCAACAAAGGTGAAATAACCTGATGTAGAACGTCTATTTGTAATATTCCCTGCATAATCTGCGTCAGTGTAACCTTCTAGATCCAAGTGACCATTTTTCTTAAATAATAAACCTCTCCCAGGAGCAGACTTTAAGTAACTCGGAATACGCATCACAGCATCCATATCATCCTCACTAGGTGAATGCATAAATTGGCTAGCAACACTTACATCATATGCAATATCAGGGCGTGTCAATGATAAATAAATCAATCTCCCAACCAACCTTTGGTATCTTTCTCTGTTAGTTGGGACCTGATCCACATAAACACCAAATTTATGATTCTTAACAATAGGTGTATCAGCTGGTTTACAATCAAGCATTCCAGTATCTGTTAACAGGTCCATACCATACTTCCTTTGTGAAAGAAATAAGCCATGTTTAGATCGAGTGACTTCCACTCCTAGAAAATATTTCAGACTGTCGAAATCTTTCATCTCAAATTCAGATGCTAAACGTTTCTGCAGTTCCTCGATTTCTACAGTATCATCACTAATCACAATCATATCATCAACATAAATAATCAACAAAGTCACCTTACCAGCCTTATGTTTAATGAATAGAGTATGATCAGTATTGGCTTGTCGGTTGTAGAAACCGGGGAAGGTCCCCAAACATCAGAATGAACTAAATCAAATGACATAAGCCATTTATTACAAATTGGAGAGTAGGATACCCGATGACTCTTATCTAAAATACAAGTCTGACATTGGAAAGCAGACTCGTTGACACCATTAAATAATGTAGGAAAAAAATGCCGTAAATATCCAAATGAGGCATGACCAAATTGGTAATGTAGCAACCAAATCCGGCGATGCTGAGAAGTTTCGGCTCTACCAGCATGAAGAACCCGACTAGTTGCCACATCATCCATATAATAAAGCCCCCATTTTTAATACCACGACCAAAGATCTCCCGAGTCTGGATATCCTGTAGTAAGACAAAAGACGGATACATCAGTACAACATAGTTTAACTGCTCAGTAACTTGCAGTACAGATAATAAATTACTAGACAAAGATGGAACCAGTAACACTTTGTCCAATGGTAAAGCAAGTGTCAAGAGTATAGAACCAGCCCTCGTGACAGGAGCAGCAGCATTATTAGCAGTAAGAACATGATTACGATGAGTCAGAAGAGTAGTAGAGAATAAAGCAGAATTATACGTCATTTGATCAGTAGCTCCTAAATCAATAATCTAACCTGTATCTCGGGTATCATAGGCATGGAAAGCCTTGCCAAAGTTACCTGGAGGCGGAGGTGTTGGAGTGCTTAAGACGATGGTCAAAATCGGATGAGGAGTAGCAGTAAGGTGGTTGTGCCTAGTGGTGATGTCAGCCACAAAAGTGGGGGCAACAGCCACATGAGCTTCGCTGTCAAGTTGTTCCTTTTTTAAATACCTCCGCTCTTTCTCCTAATCTGGTACCCCATGTAATGCTCAGCAGGTGTCAATAGTATGTCTCTTTTCACCACAGTGATCACACTTCAGTTTGTCTTTTTCTGTAGAAGTCAGGTGACGAGGCGAAACAGCAAAAGAGCCAGACCCTGTACGTTGAGAAACCAAATCAGTGTTTTTGGAAGCAAACACAACAGCAGGTTCCCCAATCTTGGTGCCGGATCCAAGCATAGTAATATGGCGTTGAGCCTCTCGACGAACCATAAAAAATACATTTTCGATACTTGAAACTTTATCACTTCGTAGAATATCATTGCAGACCTTGTCATAAGTATCGTCAAGGCCAGCCAAAAAATCATACACACGATCTGCCATAACAGTAGCCTGAAAAGTCTTTATATCATCAACACACTTCATCTGAAAAGGACGTCTCTTGTCCAATTCAAGCTAGATTGCCTTAAGTTCGGCAAAATAGGTAGAGATAGGACGACCTTCTTGCTTGAGACAGGTAGCATGACACCGCAGTTCATAGAGTTGGGATATGTCAGAGCCATCATAAAACATCTGATTAACAGCATCCCAAGTTTCCTTAGCAGTAGGTAGAGTATGAAACATATTCAACAAACTGGGTTTCATAGTTCGCAGCATCTAACTTTTCACAACAACATCATCAATTTTTCACTTCCCAAATTTCGGGTCTTTGGAATCAGGGGCATCAGTTTCGCCAGTCAGGTAAGCCAATTTGCCTTGTGTAGTAGCATGAAGTTCGATTATCGAAGCCCATATCTCATAGTTGGATCCATTCAATTTGAATCTCATAGGTAGGTTGGTGGACGATTCGGTATGAACTGTCACAATAGGAGTAGAAGAAGAAGAGTCAATGACATTTGACACGGTGATAGATAGCGGCGGCAACAAAAGATTAGGTGACGACGACGACAGTAAGAGATATAAGACAGCACAGGCTTAGGTGTATAAGCTAGGTGCAGCGGAAATAGGTATTTTTAGGATTAGGGTTTTGATGTTGTAGAGACGGATCTGATACCAACTCAAAATAATTAGGGTTTAAAACTGATATGTTTATTCTTCTCTCAATGAGGAATATATATACTACATACAGAGTAGTTACAAATAGGAAATATGTACAAAATCTTCTAATTCTACTCAAATTAGATAATTATAATAAAATATAAATTCTATTCCTAATAGGAACAAATTCTATTCCTAATAGAAACGTTGACTGACGCCAACAATAAACTCTGTATAGAGATGATGATGCTTCTCCTGTTTCTACAAACTGGAACTCGAGTATATGGTTTATTATGTGTTTGTACTTTCTTATGTCAGTGCTACGGATATATATTACTCACCGGTTCAAGTGCTAGTGGAGGTGGACGTTTCTTTATTCTGATATTTTAATGGAATTTTGCTTCATGATTGACCTGATGCATCTTATGTAGGCTATTTGCTTTCTTCTCTTCTTGGAATTGTATTATTCTTATTTATGAATGCTATTCATAGTTTAAGAGATTGGAATCTTCTGGTTACCGTGAAGCGGGATGTTTCTTCCTAGTCAAGTAATGAATGCTTCCCTTTTCAAAAGTTAAGGATGGATGGAGGGAGGGTCATAACATGCACCCCATCTCAAGTGATCCTCCCTTTAATATCTTTCCAGAGACTTGTGGGAACTGAATTAAATCAGACCTTAGGTCAAATGATTCCTTCCATTTGGGGATTATTTGACCTAATTGGGAATTATTCAACTTAATTGGGAGTTACTCAATTTAATTGGGGATTAACCAATTAAATGGAACGTTACCTAATTAGGTTGAGAATTGATTTGATTCCTACCACAATTGGGGATTTGATTTACCCTAATAAATCAAATCTCTAATTAATCAAATCAATTCCAAATAGGGGAGGAATAATTCTCTTCCATCAACGGAATTATTCCTCTGCAACCCTAGTCTCCAAGACCACTATAAAAGGATAGCCACACACAAAGGTTGAGGTACGTTTGAAATCTCTACTAAAACTCTGCAGAAAATTCCTCTCAAACCCTAGCTACCTCCTCTCTCTCTCTCTTTTTTACATAAGGCTCCGGCCGCCCGGTTTACACCTTAAACACATCTTCGTACCCTAATTAGCTAGTATTTTTTTTATAAACTCTTGAACTAATTTAGGCATCGGAAGGCCTTTGGCCAACACCCCGCGGGTGTGGCCCTCTTATTTCTTCTATTTTGCAGGGAGAAAGAGGAGGCGAGGAAGGAAGAGGAATCTTTGCAACCGAATATTCTCGTGAGGAAATTTGTACAAACAAGACTCATGTTATTTTTCTACATATATTACTTTCTGCAGGCCCTTTCTTTAAGTCTTTGTGTTTTCTTTAGCTTCATCCTTTTCTTCGGCAGTTTTATCCAAAGAGGTTTGAACTTTGAATTCCATGTCTTTTTTTCTTTTCTAAATGTACTTATGATGTTGAGCTGTTTGGCATTTCCCATTATAATTGTCCATTAATTTCTTGCATACTAAAAGAGCTCTTTTCCTTTCCTGCACAGAAGAACCTGTCGATCAATGCCTAATTTTCTTTTCCCACTAGTAATATTAATTTCACTTTAATTAGAAGATAGATTAATATAAAACAGAAATGGAAAAGCCGACCTGAAAATTTACTGAAAAAGACTGGTGAATTTCATGAAGCTTTCCCAAAACGTTATTCATTCAAAATCTCCTCATGGACTACATAACTCAGGATCAGACTAGCCATGTTGATAAAAATGTTGGTCGCTAGTTTTAGATTTGAATCATATACTTGTTATCTGCTCAAGCTCTGACCTGTTTTTCAAGCTATTCATTCTGCAAAATTTTGTCTCTCTTTCGCCATACTTGAATTGTATTTTGAAGTCCTTTAATGTTTAAGCAGGAAAACAACTTACCGCTTTGTACTTTCTCACATTATCAGTGGCTTATAAAACTGTGAAGAATATTATAAGCTTGAAGGCCGTGGTGGACAAGGGGAGCAACAAAATTATCTTCGTAGAGTCTGATAAAGATTTTATTGATGTTCTCTTGAGTTTCTTGACAATACCAATGGGAACAATTGTCAGGCGTGACACTAAACATTCAGTATCACGTTGCATGAATAATTTGTCTGCCAGTGTTTGGGTGCTTTTCCAGACTGAAGCATGTAAAGAGATGTTGCTATGTCCCCACAATGGGGCTGAATCTCATTGCGAAAACCTCAAACTGAAAATTGACAATGATGAGCCGACAGGGTACTTTCTGTATCACAGTTGGCAATGCACCTTCGAAAATAAGTCAATAAGTCATTACAAAGGTGTTCTGTGTCAATGTGGAAGATGCATGGATCGGAGTGCTCACTTCCAGTTTCATCCTCTGCTGAGCAAGGTGGGGGAAATCTTTGTAAAAGAATCAGCTAGTTTCATAATTACTGATGATTTACGTGTGATGTCCCCGTTATCAGTGGCAAGCAATCCTGTATTTACAAAGCTTGGAGCCATGAATGAGAATAGCACCACTGAACAAAAGACTTTGAATATAGGAGCTCATGAGGTAATTGAATGCTGTTTGCCAATTGTTTTATTTTTCTTTTAATACAACTGTAGTGTTTGTGGTTTTTGACCTCATGGTCTATTTTTCCAGGTTTTGAACTTGCTTCTGCGCTCATTAGTATCAAAGACCTCTGTCTGAAACTCTACTGAAGCTTGATCCTGTACCAATTCCAAATCCGAATTTGAGGCTTGATCAACTAATATTGACAAGTATTGAATCTCTACTGCTTGGAGACATAATGGATGAGGAGGAAGAAGAAAAGATTGTTGTTAAGCTGACAGTTAGCGTCTCAATGGATATTGTTTGTTATGCCGAAGCAGGGGAGGATTTTGTTAATTTGCTCCTCAGTTTTTTGACTGTTCCACTTGGTTTCATATTAAAGCATTTGAGGGATGCCTCTTTCAAAGGATGCATTGATCAGTTGTACAATAGTGTCAAAGATCTTGATGAGCAGCACTTGAAGTCAAATTACCACAAGGAAATTCTGCTGAGTCCTAAGATTTATCCTGGGTTTTGCTATGAGAACTGTCTTTTAGGAATGGAGGATGGCCCAGTAGCCTCATATTTGTATGCATATTGGAAGGATGATGAGAGGCGTTTGAAAGATATATTGACAACAGATGCAGCCCTCATCCCTTCTAATGCTGTGACAGTTCCACACAAATTGAAGCATGATAAAAGTCCTCAAGGGTATTTGAAAGGTTCGACAGTGTTCATGGTAACTGATGATCTGTTTATAACACCAATGCCTTTGGCTTTTATGAATAGCATACACTTAAGGTACCTTTGACTGACATAAAAGAGGAAACTGTCCAGGTTGGCAAGAAGGAGGTGAGTTATTTTTTATAATTTTCACGCAACTACGTTTATAGAATTCAGGTTGCCCCTTTCACTGCCTCCTTTTAACTGTTGATGATTCTTGTGTTGTTACTGATATCGTTGGCTTTGCGTCTTTTGGTGGCTGCTTTTCTGAGAGGCTCTGCTCTAACCGATGTCTTCATCAGCTGAATCAAGAAAAGTTTATAAAGAGAGCTTGGTTATCTAATAGATGAAGATTGCTAGTAGAGGTTTCTTTATGCAGCATATTTAATGACGTTTGTTATATGATCGACCAGCTGTATTAATGCCGGCTTGTTTTTCTTCTAAGAATTGTATTATTTCTATATATAATTCAATCGACCTCATCAGTTGTTGCGGTAGTTGCAATTAGCAATTAAGTTCATCAATCTCGTTAGAAAAACTAACTAATAATGAAAAATAAATAAAAGAAAGTTAACTAAAGTAAAAAAAACTAATGAAAAATAAATAAAAGAAAGGAGAAGTAGTTGTAATAAGTATTCAGTTCTTTATGGATGATATGGGGACGAAATCTTCTTCCAAATACCATGCACAGTGGCTTCTGCTGCTGCCTACTAGACCAAAATCCTTTAAACAGTAGAAGCCAAGGACTTCCCTATGCACTGATCAGATGCTCAGTCAATGAGAAGTGGAGGATTCAACCATGGGACCATGCAAGGAGGTAATTTCAAATTAATGAGGTGTTAATGAAGACATCACAAGCTCTTGCCTTTAATGCCTCCTTTGGAGATTCCATTAACACCTCTTTAGCTGGAAGTTGAAGTTGGAGATTTCTTCCTAGTCAAGTAATTTCAAATGCTATGCTTAATTTCAGAGATTGGAATCTACAGGTTAGTAGGTTACCGTGAAGCTGGAGATTTCTTCCTAGTCAAGTAATGAATGTTTCCATTTTTAAAAGCAAAGGATGGAGGGTCATAACGTTGCACCCCCACTCAAGTGATCCTCGCTATAATATCTCTCCAGACTCATGGTCCTTTCCTACTTATATTACTTTCTGCAAGCCCTTTGTTTAAGTCTTTGTGTTTTCATTAGCTTCATCCATTACTTCGGCAGTTTTACCCAAAAAGGTTCGAACTTCGAATTCCATGTCTTTTTCTTTTTTTTTTCTTTTTTTCTTCTTTTTCTAAACGTACTTATGATGTTGAGCTGTTTGGACTGATTATATTGATATGGGATTTAATGGTTTACTCTTTGTGCCATTACTGTTTCTAGTTTTTTTTTTTTTTTTTTCCCTTAAAATTCCATCTTTCTCATAACTCATCCCAACCAGGAGTCACGATTAGGAATGCAATGCTGCATTCAGGTGTCTTAAGGGTGTGGGCTTTATTACCATTTTCATATATATGCTTGTCTTTTTTTAATATATGTTCAAAAAATCCGTAGGCGGTCGGTGGCGGCAGGCATGGGCCTAGAGCCTAGAGTAGTAATCAGGGCCTAGGTACCCTTTTTTAAAAATAATTATTTTGTATTATAAATTATAAATTTACACCAAAATCATGCAAAGCAATAAGATATATAAAAGAAAACTTTAATATTTTCCAACCTTGATATTATCTGACCTTTATTTTTGTATTTTCATAAGTAACCTTGATATTTAAAAAAAACTGCAAAAAAAAAAAGAAGAAAAAAAAAGTATAAGTAGGCCCATTTTAAAACAATGTTTAAGGCCATTTTACAAAACCCAACCCGTAAGTTATATTAAAAAGTTGGTCAGATATCTCCTTCTTCTTCCCACCGTCGCCTTCTCCTTCCTCTCTCTGTTTCGATTTCATCTCTCTGTCTCGATCTCTCTCTCTCTCTCTCCGTCTTTCTTCCTGACAAGTAGCGGATCCTGCGCGCTTCAACCGCCCTTCGTCCACGCCTCAAGGGCAAAACTCCCTCCCAGACCCGCCTAGAGCCGCCTAGGCCTCCCAGGCGGGCCCCCAAGCGCCGCCTAACTCCCTGGCGCCTACCCCTAATGATTAGGGTGAAATCGTGGGGGCGTCCTCTTGCCTAGCGCCAAGGCGCTGCCTAGGCCGATTTTTTGAACCTATTTAAGATTACAGTTTTTTTAGTGTAAAAACCAAACAAAACTGCCATAAGTGGTTTGGTTTTTTGTCCAAAAAAAACGTGGTTTGGTTTCGCCGGTTTGAATGATGCATACGGTCTTTCGCCCACCACTTTCGTATAAAGAAAAAAAGAAGAAAAAACCAGATCCTCCTTTAAAAGGACAGCAGAACCTGTAGATCAATACGTTAATGCTGCCTATTTTTCTTTTCCAACTAGTTAATGTCATGAAACCATGCACCATGCGTACAAAAATTAATTTCACTTTAATTTCATGCTGTAACATTTTCTCTCTCGTTCACCGTAGTTGATTTGTTGAAGTCCTTTCATGTTTAAGCAGGGAAACAACTGAGTTTGTACAAGGAAAGGATAAAAAAGCCAAATTTGTACTTTCTTACAGTATCAATGGCTATGAAGAAGAATGTCATAAGCTTGAAGGCCTTGGTGGACAAGGGGAGCAACACAATTATCTTCGTAGAGTCTGATAACGATTTTATTGATGTTCTCTTGAGTTTCTTGACAATACCAATGGGAACAATTGTCAGGCGTGCCCGTAAACATTCAGTACCACTGGAAATAGGTTGCATGAGCAATTTGTACGCCAGCGTTGCGAATATCGATGTTCGGCATTTCCAGACTGAAGCATGTAAAGAGATGTTGCTATGTCCCCACAATGGGGCTGAATCTCATTGCAAAAACCTCAAACTGAAAATTGACAATGATGAGCCGACACGGTACTTTCTGTGTGATAGTTGGCAATGCACCTTCGAAAATAAGTCAATAAGTCATTACAAAGGTGTTCTGTGTCAATGTGGAAGATGCATGAATCTGAAGTGCCCACTTTCAGTTTCATCCTCTGCTGAGCAAGGTGGGGGCATCTTTGTTAAAGAATCAGCTAGGTTCATAATTACTGATGATTTACATGTGATGTCCCCGTTATCCATGGCAAGCAATCCTGTATTTACAAAGCTTGGAGCCATGAATGAGAATAGCACAACTGAACAACGGAATTTGAATATAGGAGCTCCTGAGGTAATTGAATGCTGTTTGCCAATTGTTTTATTTTTCTTTTAATGCAACTGTAGTGTTTGTGGTTTCTGACCTCATGGTATTTTTTCCAGGTTTTGAACTTGCTTCTGCGCTCATTAGTATCAAAGAAACCTCTGTCCGAAACTATACTGAAGCATGTACCAAATCCGAATTTGAGCCTTTTGAATCTGGATCAACTAATATTGAGACGTATTGAATCTCTATTGCTTGGAGACACGATGAATAAGGAAGAAGAAGAGGAAAATATTGTTGTTAAGCTGACAGTCAGCGTATCGAAGAATATTGTTTGTTATGCAGAAGCAGGGGAGGATTTTGTTAATTTGCTCTTCAGTTTTTTGACTGTTCCACTTGGTTTCATAGTAAAGCATATGAGGGATGCCTCTTTCAAAGGGTGCATTGATCAGTTGCACAAATCTGTCAAAGATCTTGATGAGCAGCACTTGAAGTCAAATTACCACAGGGAAATTCTACTGAGTCCTAAGATTTATCCTGGTTTTTGCTACGAGAACCGTCATTTAGGAATTGAGGATGGCCCGGTGGCCTCGTATTATTATGCATATTGGCTGCATGGAGGTTTGCAGGATATATTGGCCACTGATAAAACACTCATCCCTTCTAACGCAGTGACACTTCCACTCAAATTGAAGCATGATAAAAGTACTCAAGGGTATTTGAAAGCATCAACGGCATTCATGGTAACTGACAAGCTGATCATAAGGCCTGCATCTCCTTTCTTTGGCTTTTCGATTATAAATGAATTGAAGGTACCTTTCACTGACATAAAGGAGGAAACTGTTGAGGTTGGCAAGAAGGAGGTGAGTTAATTGTTTTCAATTTTCATGTTGCCCTTTTCACTGCACCCTTCTCCCTTTTTAATTGTTGATGATTCTTGTGTTGTTACTAATCGTAGGCTTTGCGTCTTTTGGTGGCTACTTTTCTTAGCAACTCTGCTCTAACCGATGTCTTCATTAGGCAGCTGAATCAAGAAAAGTCTATGAAGAGAGCTTGCTTATCTATTCAATTATGATGATGCTTCGCCTTTATACAAACTAGAACTCCAGTATGGATGATACTGTGTTTGCGCTTCCTTATGGATAATGCTAATGCTAGCATACTAATATTTGTAGCAGACTCATAGTCATGGGTTCAATTGCTAGTAAAGATTACTTTATGCAGAATATTTAATGAACATTTGTTTCATGAATGACCTGCTGTATGCAATAATAATGCAGGCTTTGTTTTTCTTCTAGAGAAAAAAAGGAAAAAAGAAAAAAAGAAAGAGGAGAAGTGAAGTTGTAAAAAACTATGAGTTCTTTAAGGATGAAATGAATGGGGATGAAATCTCTTTCCAAATACCATACACAGACCAAGATCTTTTTTAACAGTAGAAACTCAGGACTTCCCTATCTATTGCTTAGAGGCCCAGTCAATGAAATGGGGCCCACTGGGCCGTGGAGGATTCAGCATACAATATAAAATCTCAGGGCCTCCGCCATGAAGAAACGGGCCATGCAGACAAGTTCTTGCTTCTTCTTTTTTGTGTGTGGTTATTTTCAAGTTACATCACAAGTTCTTGCCTGTTTAATTCCTTCGGCCAGTAAGGTGTTAGCCCAGTTAGTTGGGAACATCCTCCATTCCCATCTCTTGAGATTAAACATGTGAAATTTATTCCCAAGAAGTTCAATTCTCAAACCAAGTCATAATTCTACATTTAATTCCAGTGATTACATTACAGAGCATGGGTGGGAGCATTTTTGCTCACCACATTAACTAGAGGTTTATGCTCACCACTACTCTTAAAACATAACACCAGTCTCGTAATTAACCTTAGTTAAGTTTTATGTGAGAATTTAAAAAAAAATTGAAAAATGGCCCACAGCCCAACACTTTCCTTTTGAAAAATTGAAAATAATACTTTCCTTTTGGAAAGCTAAAATGGTGGGTCATAAATATGCACCTCTGCACCCTCACTCACCTTACAATCTCTCCATGCTCATGACCTTCTTCTACAAGTTCTACTTCAGAAGCTTTTAACTTTCAGCTGACTCTTTCTTTTTAAGTCTTTGTGTTTTCATCACCTTCATCCATTACTTCGGCTCGGCAGTTTTCCCAAAAAGGTTTGATCCTTGTTTCTTTTCATTTCTTTTGAGATGTTTGGACTCAAATGAGTAATCTGCTTGATATCAGTATGTCAACATCAGTAGGAGTCGGAGTACTCTTTGTCGAATTGGTCCTTGTCTAGAGATGTAGTGTTAAACTCCTCAGGCTAGCTCAGTGGGAAATATATAGTTGTTAACTTGCTATGACTAGGATAGGAAAGAAAGAAAAAAGAAGCGCTCCCGTTTCACTTCCTCCATGACTGAACATGTAGCCAGTAGATTATATATCCATACTGAAATTGCATTGCATGCTTTAAATTTGATAGAAACAGTCATTACCTGTTTTAAATTTAAATCATATTTGTTATCTACTTGAGCTCTGCCTATTTATTAAACTATAAATGCTGGAAAACTCTCTCTTTCCAGGCAGTAGATTAGTATATTGAAGCTCCTTTCATGTTTTGGTTAGTGAATTTGTACAGAGAATTGACAAAACGAAGCCATATCTTACAATCTATGGGTGATAAATCTGTGAGCACCATTAGCTTGAAGGCCTTGGTCGAAAAGAGGAGCAACAAAGTTATCTTCATAGAGTCTGATAATGATTTTGTTGATGTTCTCTTCAGTTTCTTGACAATTCCAATGGGAACAATTATCAGGCTTGCTTGTACACGTTCAGTACCACTGGAAATAGGTTGCATGAAAAATCTGTATTCAAGAGTTGAGCATGCTGATGCACGTGTTTTCCCAACTGAATCATGTAGAGAAATGTTGTTATGTCCCCGCAACGGGGTTGAATCTCATTGTGAGAATCTCAAATTGAAAATTACCAATGGTGATCCCACGCAGTACTTTTTGTGCTCTGATGGTTGCAACAAGTTATTTAGTCATTACAAAGATGTTCTTTGTGAGTGTGGAAAACCCATGGATCGTGAGATGTCTCTTTCAGTGGGAAAGTTGAAAAGCTCCTCTTTTTCGGATGATGGTGTCTTTTGTAAAGGACTTAGCGGATATATAGTAAGTGATGATTTAGAAGTGATGCCCCCATTAAGCTCACCAGTCTCTTCTTTCCTTACTAAGGTTGGTGTGATGGATGCAACCACTACTGAGGAGATGACTTTCAATGTAGGAGTTGATGAGGTAATTGAACTGCCATCTTGTTATGTCAACTTTTCCTTTTGTTTACAAGTGGCTCTCTCTGACCCAGTCTCTTGTTCCAGGTTTTGAATTTGCTTATATGCTCATTTGTGTCTAAAACACCTTTGACGGATATTCTGCTGAAGCATAAACCAGAACCAAAACTGAGCAGTGAAGGTGTTCAGCAAGGAATAGGTTCTAAGCGGCAAACGACAGGAGACACGGTGAAGGAGGAAAAAAAAAATTCTGTCAATCTTTTGGTTAGCAAATCTAAGAAAATGGTTTGTTATGCAGAAGCAAGGGAGGATTTTGTTAATTTACTCCTCAGTTTCCTAACTGTTCCGCTTGGGTTAGTACTAAAAGAGATGCAGGATAGCTCTTCCTCTACGAAAGGCTGCATTGATCAGTTGTACAAGAGTGTCCAAGATCTTGATGAGGAATACTTAAAGTCAAATTACCACAAGGAAATTCTAATCGCTCCCAAGCTTTATCCTGGTTTTGGCTATGATAACCATCTTTTAGGAATTGAGGACGGCCAGGAAGCCTTATATTGGAATGCTTAAATTGGTCTAGTTTGAAAACATTGATATGTAAATTGATGAAATTAAAATTATATAGCCCAAATGAATTGATGAAATTAAAACCCAAAACCCAAATGAACCCAAACATTGACGGGTTTTTGGTCGTTAGCCCTTGTCTTTATATTCTCTTTGCCTGACGTGAAAAGCTTACCTTGTCATCCAAGTTTTTCTCCCAGCATGGAGATCAGATGCATATAAGATCTCAAGGCGCCACCCCAGCCATGAAGAAAAGGGCCATGGGGGGACCATCCACTCAACTCCAAGCTCTTGCCCTTGGTATCTCCTTTTTTTTTATCAACACCTCATTAGCTGCACTATGCAGGTCACAGTGGGACTGGCTTTAGCTTTTCAATAATGCATTACTAACTTTAGCTTTTCAATTAAAGTTAAGTAAGTAATAATGCCCCTAGATTTCTTCCTAGTTATGCATCATACATTGAATACATAGGTTTAATTGAAAAGCTAAAGCTTAAATGTCCTGCTCCACTCAAGATTCATCCTCTATAAACTTAATCCACAAGCAATGCTCTCTATAAGTAAGTCCTTGGCTCTTTGCCAAGTAAGTTGTTTCTAGTCTCTCATATCAGCAAAAACAGTTTTCACATTTCAGAAGTTAGTGAACTACCTTGATCGGTAATTGTGCCTGATTATTTAGAATATTACCTCTGCTTTCTTAAAATTTATTTGCAATGTTGTTGATTATAGTTTGAATCTGGATCATTTCTCCTCGACTATTGTTTAGTTTTTGTCATTTGCTAATTGGATTTGAATAGAGAGAGGATATTGATCCAAGTTTTTTTTTTCTTTTTCTTACAGTCCATGGCCGATAAATCTACCAACAGTATTGAGTTGAAGGTCTTGGCGGACAAGGGGAGTAACAAAGTTATATTCATAGAGCCTGGCAATGATTTTGTTGATGTTCTCTTCAGTTTCATGACAATCCCCATGGGAACAATTATCAGGCTTGCACGTAAACATTCAGATCCTGTGGCAATAGGTTGCATGAACAACTTATATGCAAGTGTTGAGAATTTTGACGATCAAGAATTTTGGATGCATACATGTAAAGACATGTTGCTGCATCCCCGCAATGCAGCCGATTCTCAGTGCAATGCCCTCAAATTGAAACTTGACGATGCTAAGCCAAGACGCTACTTTATGTGCTGCAGATCATGTAACTTCTTAAGTTATTACAAGAATATCCGCTGTCCTTGCACGAGACAAAATGTTATGGATGAGGAGAGGAGTTTTTCATTCTGTGCTTCTCAAGATGGAAGCGTCTTTGTGAAAGGACAAACCAGGTTTACAGTTACTGATGATTTACAAGTGATCCCCCCAAGTTCATCAGCCAATTCTGTATTTACTAAGCTGCATGTCATGGATGTGGATGCCATGGAGGAGTTGACTATCAATATTGGAACTGTTGAGGTAATTGATGGCTAGGCCTTATTTGTTTTTGTTTAAAACTGTATCGTTGTTTCTGATCTGTTTATCTTTTCCAGATTTTGAATTTGCTCATGTGCTCCTTAGTGTCAAAAACACCTTTGACTGAAACCCTGTTGAAGCCTAAACAAGATCCTAAATGGAGCAGTACAATTTTTGATCAAGCAATACATATTGAATCGCACATGTCCGGAGACTCAATGAATGATGAAGAAGATAAGATTTGTTTGAATCTTGTGGTCAGCAAATCTAAGAAGATAGTCTGTTACGCAGAAGCAGGGGAGGATTTTGTTAATTTGCTCTTCAGTTTCCTAACTCTACCTCTTGGATTTATAGTAAAAAACATGAAGAATGGTTCCTTGAAAGGTTGCATCAGGCACTTGTACCAAACTATCCAGGATTTGGATGGGGAATACATGATTTCAGATCGCCACAAGGAAATGCTACTTGATCCCAAACTTGTTCCTGGTTTTTGCTATAAGAATAGTCTTTTAGGAATTGAGGAGACCTCATATTATAGTTATTACTCTTTATTTAGTTATACCTTCACTACTGATAGATCCCTTTTCCCATCGGAACCAGATAAACTCAAACTGGTCAGTTCTGATTCCGTGGATTTAAGTGCTCAAGGATTTCTGAAGAGACCCGCGAAGTTTGTAGTAACTGACAATCTGGTTGTAAGACCAATATCTCGGATCTTGGAGCTGCAAGTTCTTAAAGACTTGAATGTGCCTGTCACTGACATTGAGGATCAAATTGTGCATGTGGGCAAGAAGGAGGTGAGTTATTTATAATTGCTGCTGAAGTTTTTTTCTACTATAATGTTACATGTCTCCACTATAATATTGTGTTAATTTCACTTCATCAGCTTGGCTGCATATAAATTATCTTTGTGTCTGTTAAGTTTTGAATTTTCAAGTCCTTTGATTTAGACTTGTACTGGATGCCTATCCAGATGAGTTATATATGATCATTGACTCTTGAATTTGGTAACTGTTGCAGGCTTTGCATCTTTTGTTGGCTTCCTTTCTTTGCGACTCTGCTCTGACCAATACCTTCATTGCGGATCTTAGGGAGCCAAAGCAAGAACAATGACAGGTTTGTTATACTTACAAAGAAGAGGTTGCCTTTGTTGTTACTACATAAGAATTCTAGTAGGCTATTGATCTGAGATTAACTTTTGTGTGTACATCGTATGACCTGCATACAAGGTTTGCCATTTGATCATTTTGGGCTGTAAGAAACTTGTACTATTTTGTTAGATCTCTGTCTTACCTTATGTTTGGTTAAATTATGTTATAGTCATTGTCCAAAACCAATCTTATTTAAGAATAGATTGAGGCTAGTCAACCATGAACTATAAATTACAAACCCATAAAGCTTTGACCAAATTTGCAGCATTTTAGCGATCCCACCTCGTTGCGCCCAAGTTTGAGTTACCTTCCAGTAGATTAGATTAATTTAGAGTAGTTATAAAAATAAAAATAAATAAAAATTTGCAGTACGTATTTGATCTGATATAAACAAGCAATATGCAGAATTTGATCTGTGTATGGTTCTGCCATGATCTGACTTTGCTAATGAAGAGATTGATCGCGTTCCCAATAGCTGGGTCATCAAGGCGGGACCTAATCTTAATAATCCAAGTTCCCATGCGTGCGTGGCATGTGGTGGAATTGTTTTTTTTTGTTTTTTGTTTTAGTTTAAAAGAACTAAAAGGTAATTGAAAAAAGTTGAAATGAAAATTGAAAGCAAACTGACACTGAGGTGCCATTCACTGACATCAAAAGGTAAAATGAAAAAGTTCTGAAGCTTCAAGTCATCTGATGTAGTGGATATCTATATATATCAAGAGGAGTTTTCTGATGACTTGTGATTTTCTTACTTACTGTAGGATTTGCATATTTTGGTGGGTTCTTTTGTTTGTGCCTCTGCTCTGATCAATACCTTCATCATTGGGAGCCGAAGCAAGAACGATCAAGATGATGCATTTGTGTTAGTAAACAAGACCTCAGGCTTACACTTTGCGTATTGGTTTCAGAGTACTTAACTTTTTAAATGTAGACTTTGGACTTTATTTTGTTCCTTTGGTATTTCTTCTTTATTTTCATTTGTTTTAGTTGTTTGGGTTCTTCTCTGGTGTCCTTTATTATTTCTGGGCTTTTGGCATGGTTTGCCATTTTGGGCTGTAACCTGTACTGTTGTTAGATCTCTATGGTTGAGTTGTCAACTATGATCGTGAAGGAAAAAATATTACAAAACCCACTAAGCTATGACTAACTTTGCTGTATTTGATCTGATATAAAAAAAGCAACATGCAGTATTTGGTGAGTCAATATCAATATGCAAAATCAGCCCGATCTCTTGGACCACAGGTGTCCAAGAGATTGTGGTCACCTACCGTTGGATGTTAATCTAACAGTTCAAAAAAGTTTTTTAAAAGAAGTGCAAGATTGAGTGAACTGTTGAATTTACGTCCAACGATGAGTGACCACAAATCTCTTGGACCCCTGTATCCAAGAGATCAAAACTATATGCAAAATAGTGTTATGTAAGTCTTTTACTGTAGGGCCATATAAATTTTCCTAGTTAAGTAATGAGAGTGCTTTTACCAACAAATAAAAAGTAATGGGAGTGCTTCTCTTTTGGAAAAGCCAGAGTATAGAGGAAATAGAGGGAAAATGAAAAAGAGAATGATAGTGAAAATTGGATTGTGAGGTAAGATGAGAGGGGAGGATGGGAGGAATGAGTAACAAAAGTGAAAACAAAAACAAAAAAATAAAATCTATTTGAAATTGTTTAAGTTTTTGTTTTCACTTTTGTTTCTCCTCCCTCTCATCCTCCCTTCTCTTCATCTCTCTCAATCTCATCATCACTCATATTACCACTCTCATTTTCATCTACACTCTTAGGACAAAAAAATGAAAACTAAAAGGTAAAATTGAAATAGTTATCAAACGGGCGCTAAATGGATGCACCTCTGCACACCCTCACTAACTTTACTATCTCTCCAGACTCATGGTCTTCTTCTACAAGTGCTACTACAGAAACTTTTAACTTTTAGTTGGCTCATTCTTTTAAGTCTTTGTGTTTTCATTACCTTCATCCATTACTTCGGCTAGGCAATTCTGCCCATAAAAGGTTTGATTTTCTTTTCCCATTAATTTTGAGCAGTTCGGACTGAAATGAGTAATCTGCTTGATATCAGTATGTCAACATCTGGGATTCATTAGTTACTCTCTTTGTCATTACTTTTTCCGTTTAGTGTTTGTTCTTTTTCATTCTCTTTAGACTTAATCAATAAGCAATGCTCTCTGTTGTTTTTAAACAGCCCAAAAGTAAGTCCTTGGCTCTTGGGAAAGTAAGTTGTAGTCTCTTATATCAGCAAAAACAATTTCCACATTTCAGAGGTTAGTGAACTACCTTGATTGGTAATTGTGCCTGATTATTTAGATTACCTCTGTTTTCTTAAAATTTATTTGCAATGTTGAGACTGATTTATATTTATACATCTGGTAGAGTTGATTATAGTTTGAATCTGGATCATTTTTCCTCGACTACGGTTTAGTTTCTGTCATTTTCTAAATCCTTTTTTTTTTTTTTTTTTTTTTTTTACAGTCCTGGGCCG